TGTTGACTTTAGCTTAAGAGAAAAAGCTTCTCCTTTCTCAAACTTGTCCTGACACAGCAGGGTTCACCAGCTCGACTGGAACATCCCATCCCCAGAAGGTCTGTTAACCCTTAAATGGACCTTCCTTATATTGGAACATGTATTGATTGCTATTTCTAAATATAACGGGATTACGTCATCGGGATACAAAAGAAAGGTAACTATTCCCTTACAGTTACATCAAAACCGATGTAATCAGATTACTGGTACATTCTGTAAATATTGGAATTACTAGCATGATTACAATGTTACATAACATTTCAAGATAAAGATATATACTCTTTATTATAGGCAGGCGTACTGCCTGAATTTTCTTTTTGGTTTTCATTTTGGCTACTTTCATTATTTTTTTTATATTTTGATTTTCAATGCCGCATATGGACACCGGATTTATTTAACAAAAAAAATTAAAGTTTTAAACTAACCAGCTTTTGTAAACGATGGTATTGTGCCCTGATTTAAGATGACGCATTGTTCTGTTGTCTTAAATAATACACTTAGTTAAAAACATCTTATTGATATTCTTTACTTTTTTTTTCTTTTTTTGCATTGCATTTAATATTGAGAAAATAATCAGATTACATTACTTACATATTGTGTTTCTTGGATTACATTTCTGATTACATTCTTTTTTTGCATGTAACTAGTAATTATAACCAAATACATTCTTATAGTGACCATCCCAACCCTGCCTGCTATGACCCTCTTCATACACCCTGTGCAGCTACTCACCACCAAGTGTTCAAATAATATAAGGCAAGGCAAGTTTATTTATATAGCACCTTTCAACACAAGGCAATTCAAAGTGCTTTACAAACATGAAAAAGATTAAGAAAAAGGCATTTAAAAACAGTCATTAAAAAGCAAAGATAATAAAGTAAACATTAAAAGAAAAAATACATAGATAAAAGTTACAGTGCAGTTTAAGATGTGAATAGTCCATGTTTAGTTCTGACTCTGGGGACAGAAAGCTGACCAGTCCCAGAAGACCTGAGAGTTCTGGATGGTTCATAATTTAGCAGTAGGTCAGAAATGTATTTTGGGCCTAAACCATTCAAAGCTTTATAAACCAGCAGCAGTATTTTGAAATAAATTCTTTGACACACAGGAAGCCAGTGTAAGGATTTCAGAACAGGAGTGATGTGATCCACTTTCTTAGTGTCAGTGAGGAACCAGTGTAAAGACTTCAGAACAGGAGTGATGTGATCCACTTTCTTAGTGTCAGTGAGGAACCAGTGTAAAGACTTCAGAACAGGAGTGATGTGATCCACTTTCTTAGTGTCAGTGAGGAACCAGTGTAAAGACTTCAGAACAGGAGTGATGTGATCCACTCTCTTAGTGTTGGTGAGGAACCAGTGTAAAGACTTCAGAACAGGAGTGATGTGATCCACTTTCTTAGTGTCAGTGAGGAACCAGTGTAAAGACTTCAGAACAGGAGTGATGTGATCCACTTTCTTAGTGTCAGTGAGGAACCAGTGTAAAGACTTCAGAACAGGAGTGATGTGATCCACTTTCTTAGTGTCAGTGAGGAACCAGTGTAAAGACTTCAGAACAGGAGTGATGTGATCCACTTTCTTAGTGTCAGTGAGGAACCAGTGTAAAGACTTCAGAACAGGACTGATGTGATCCACTCTCTTAGTGTTGGTGAGGAACCAGTGTAAAGACTTCAGAACAGGAGTGATGTGATCCACTTTCTTAGTGTCAGTGAGGAACCAGTGTAAAGACTTCAGAACAGGAGTGATGTGATCCACTTTCTTAGTGTTAGTGAGGACTCGAGCAGCGGCGTTCTGAATTAGCTGCAGCTTTCTAATAGATATTTTAGTGAGACCTGTGAAGACACCATTACAGTAGTCCAGTCTACTGAAGATAAAAGCATGGACAAGTTTTTCCAAATCCTGCTGTGACATTAGTCTTTTAATCCTAGATATGTTCTTTAGGTGATAGTAGGCTGATTTAGTAATTGTTTTAATGTGACTGTTGAAACTCAGGTCAGAGTCCATGACTACACCTAGATTTCTGGCTGTATCTGTTGTTTTGAACATTGCAGACTGAAGCTCAGCGCTAACTTTTATACGTTCTGCCTTGGCTCCAAAAACCATTACCTCAGTTTTGTCTTTGTTTCATTGGAGAAGGTTCTGAAACATCCAGTCATTGATTTGTTCAATGCACTTACTCAGTGTTTGAATTGGAGCATAGTCTCCTGGTGAAATGGTTATGTACATGTATGTGTCATCCCGCATAGCTATGGTAACTTAACTCTAAACAAAATAAAATAACATGCCAACAATTAACATAAGGGTCCTGCAGGGGGTGAAGATGTAATGAAACAGCTACAGCCGGACCTGGATGAACATCCATTCATCATTTTTCTTCTAGTTTGTGGTGGGTACTGAAATGATGCATATGTTGACACCTGTTATTTTACTCTTCCAAAGTCTAAAATAATTGTTTGCATTAATCTTATTTATAGTCATATTTTAAATAATAAATAGAAAAAACCTTTGACTAATCTTGAAGTACAGTAATAATTAGTAGTATTGTAGAGTAGTGCGTTGTAAAGGCATTATTCAGTTTATGTTGTAAATAATTGATATATATATATAAACACAGTTAAACTAGCATACTCCATAACATCCTTACAGTGTCAAACTGTGACTAGAATTAGAGTAAAGCTGTTTTTACTGCTTCATGGTGTTAACAGGTCATGGGAACAATGAAATGTCTAAGAGGGTGATACAAATAATATCATAACATACACTCAAGGAGCCAGTTCCTTTAGTCCCTTTCATTTTGATTCTTTGAGTATGTTTTGCTGATTGTAATAACAACATTTTATTCAAGTAACACTTTCAATGATGGGCTTTTATTTGTGCAATAGATAGATAGATAGATAGATAGATAGATGGATACATACATACATACATACATACATACATACATACATAGAAGGATAGAAGGATAGATAGGAGAGCTTTGTGTGCCCCGATGAACCTGGGGGCTGTGTTGTCTGAAACCTTGTGTTCCTGGTAGGGTCTCCCTTGGCAAATCGGTCTCAGGCAAGGGGCCAGACTAAGATTGGTTCGAAGACCTCATGAAAACAAAATAAGAAGTGAGGATACCTGGCCTGGAGGAAGCCCGGGGTCCCCTTCTGGAGCCAGGCCCAGAAGGAGGACTCGTCGGCGAGCGTCTGGTGGCCGGGCTCAGCCCGAAAAGGCAACGTGGGCAACACCTCCACTTCTCCGTCCCGCGGGCCCACCACCTACGGGAAACAGCGATGGGGTCGGGTGCCAGAAGGGTGGCAGTGAAAGCAGAGGGTCTCGACGCACCAGACCCAGGCGGCAGAAGCTGTCTTTGGGGACGTGGAACGTCACCTCTCTGGGGGGGAAGGAGCCGGAGCTTGTGCGGCAGGTGGAGCGTTACCAGTTGGATCTGGTGGGGCTCACCTCTACGCACAGCGTCGGCTCTGGAACCTTACTTCTGGATAGGGGTTGGATTCTTCTCCGGAGTTGCCCAAGGTGCAAGCCCCCGGTTGGGAGCCGCTTTGTTGGAGTTTATCCTAGTGGACGAGAGGGTTGCCTCCCAGTTATATTCATACCCTTTCCATCACATTAGTATGCATAGCTATGATTTACGACCCCCCAATAATGATGTATGACCCCCCAATAAACCTTCGATGTCTGGTGTGCTGACAGGTGTCTAATATTTTTATGACGTGTGTTGACAGGTGGTATGTTTTATGAGGTGTTGTTTTATGGTGTCTGATGTTTAAGAGGTGTTGTTTTATGGTATATTAAAACTTTGATGTCGATCCTTTGATGAGTGTCTGATCACCTGTTGTTCAATTGCCCTCTAAAGATTAAGGCCCTGACACACCAGGCCGTATTCGGCCGTCTTGCGTTGTCTGGCGACAACGCGTTCCTTGTCGCCCAAAGTCAATTTGGTGTGTCCCGAACCCTCGGCCGTGACACGCCTTATTTGGCCTTTCACACACATGGCCGATTCAACATGTTGAATCGGCCAAAATACGGACACACAACTTTTGTCAATGGTGTAGCTTCAATATAACAGAATGGTATTTTCCTAACTGTTAAATAATTGACGGCCTCATGCTCTACAATGTTTTTATAACGTTTAATTATTTCTTTTCCCCCCTTTATTCAAGAAAATATATATGAACATCAAAACATTATATACACACAAAACATTGACATCATGAGTAGGCTACAAAGGTACATGCACAGAGTAAACTAAAGAAAATAAAGAAATGTAAAGAAAATAGTGATTAAAAAAAAGGTAACATTTCAAGTAAAATATGTATTACATTACATTACATGTCCCTTATTAGACGCTTTTATCCAAGGCGACTTCAAGGCAATCCCCACAGGAGCAATTTGGCACATCCTTATCAAATGATTTATGGTTTTGATTCCCTTCTTATTTTTTAACAGTGGTGCCATATTGTTGTATTTCTATGTGGAAATTCTGAGTGACAGCATTTGGTTTGGTTTTCTTCTTGTAAATGTGAAATATTCCCACAAATAAAACGTGTTATTTGAACCAATATTTGTATAAAATCCATCACCTTTAAAGTTTATTAAAATGTCCTCATCCTGAAGTCGTATTATTTGTCAAAAGCAGACCAAAACAATTAAAAGTACAAATAGTGAGAGAATAAAAGATGTGGAAAAGTGGAAACACTATACAAAATATTTGTCCTCAGAAAAACAGTCCCGGAGCAGCTTCCGGTGCGGCTGCTGGGTTCTGCTCGTTCTTCGGTTCTGCTGCGAGCTGTGCCTGTCGGATAAGGGACTGAAGGTAACTCCTCTAACCGATTAACAGCTACTGTATGCGACAACTTCACTAGACAGAGTGATACTGTCTGGAGGCAGCAGACAGCTATATTTTCCTAAACCGGAAACGGACCCGTTTCGTTGCCGCACCGCTTGACGCCATTTTCAAAACGGCTAACCTTTATTGCGCAGAGCAAAGTTGTTCAGCAAAGGAGTTTAAATAAAGAAACGGATCGTTTGAATGGGTTAAGGTAAAGACTACACTGATTGCCGGCTGCGTGTTGGAGGCGCTCAGCCTTGATTTAGCCTTCTCATGCATCCCTATGTATTTCACTAACCTTACATTCATAAGCTTTTCGAGTTCGACATTACATTAGCATCCGGAGCTAGGGACGGATAGCCTGCTAAAGCTTAAGTAGCTAATCTGGTAAACATTGACCGGAAAGCCATGTGAACATCAGGCTCAGAAACTGGAGCCTGGTTAGCAAATGTTCACCACTCTTTAAGTATTAAAAGGCACAGCAATTTATATAATATATACATTTTTTTCATACACCAACATCTATTCAAATGTCAAATAAATATGGGATAAATACCGAAAAGTGAATATTTGTTTATTTATACTTTTTATACTACTTTATACTTCTACTGTACTACATTTTGGAAGCCAATTTAATAATTTTTACTCCATTACACATATTTTACAGATTTATTTTCTGGTTACTTTATAAATTCAGATTTTGACGCACAACACTTTTAAATATGATTTTTTGGTATAGATGAATCCATCCAACATTAGATTGAATAAACTCAGACCATGAGAGGGTTAACAGAGAATTAATTGGCAGCAAATTGTTTGTTAAAAAATATTTCACAGTTCTAGCTTCTTAAACGTGAAGAGCTTTTGCTTGAAACTATTAAAATATTTTTCCTGTAATAAGTACTTATACTCCTAATATTTTAAGTACATTTTACTCATCGTACTCAAATACTTCTACTTTAGTACCATTCTCAATGCAGTTCTTTTAGTTGAAATTTAAGTTTTTTACAGTGTCGTATTAGTACTTTTACTCAAGTAAAGCATCTAAATATTTTCCCACCACTGTATTTGGGACTTATTATGAATATAGTAGTCATTTTTGTTCTAATTCTGCATACATCCAAAACACACAACATGCACAGTACTTACTCGATACACTCTGTACAGTGTAAGTGTGTGCCATTCCACCAGTAGATGCAAATTATATGCTCATTATTCTGGCTTCAAATACTGAGTGTTTTGAAGTATTTTGCTGAAAATAATAATAATAATAAGTTGAATTTCTGAATTGTTCTCTCTTCATAGAAAAGAGAGCGGAACATCAGCAAAATGATGGAGCTACCCAACTACAGCAGCCAGCTGATGCAGCAGCTGTGGGCCCTGAGGAGGGAGGGCCACCTGTGTGACTGCACCATCCTGGTGGGGGACAGCCCCCACCGCGCCCATAAACTGGTACTGGCTGCCTCCAGCATGCTCTTCAGGTAGTGTGAGCATGGGCTTTGAAACATGATCTGCAGAGAGTGGTTAGCAGGTGTTTAGTGGCTCGGAATTCATATTCATTTTTCAAGTCCAAACATAGTCTCAAGCTTATAAGCACATAGATCTTTCTAGATTATTCATAAAATGGTAGTTTGACAAAATAAATGATTATATTGTCAAAGTGACAAGCCAGTCCTTAAATGCTAAGTGCACAATTCATATCTTAACTGAACAATATGCAGGTCTCTCAGGATTTACAATGTTAACACTCATCACTGGCCGCATTAAATACCATGGGCCCACAGATGTCCCACATATTTGTGTTTTCTGAAAAGGGAACTACTAAGGCGCAATGTTTTTAAGAAAAAAGGTTTATTATGATGAGAAAAAAGTCTCATCAACGTTGTGTGGAAGTCGGAAACAGTATCGAAGGAGTGGCAGACAGGGGCGGTGGTTCCCCTTTTCAAAAAGGGGGGTCAGAGGTTGTGTGCCAATTATTTCTTCTCAGCAGGAAACCGATGGACTGTCCACTCCAAGTAGGGAATGAGGCCTTACCCTAAAGTGAAGGAGTTCAAGTATCTCGGGGTCTTGTTCTCGAGTGAGGGAACAATGGAGCGTGAGATGGGCCGGGGAATCGGAGCAGCGGGAGCGGTACTGCAGTCGCTTTACCGCACCGTTGTGACGAAAAGAGAGCTGAGCCAGAAGGCAAAGCTCTCTGTCTACCGGGCCATTTTCGTTCCTACCCTCACCTATGGTGATGAAGGATGGGTCATGACCGAAAGAACGAGATCGAGGATACAAGCGGCCGAGATGGGTTTTCTCCACAGGGTGGCTGGCGTCTCCCTTAGGGATAAGGTGAGAAGTTCAGTCATCAGGGAGGGACTCGGAGTTGAACCGCTCCTCCTTCGCGTCGAAAGGAGCCAGTTGAGGTGGTTCTGGCACCTAGTAAGGATGCCACCTGGGCGCCTCCCTAGGGAGGTGTTCCAGGCACGTCCAGCTGGGAAGAGACCGAGGGGTAGACCTAGGACCAGGTGGAGGGATTATATCTCTTCGCTGGCCTGGGAGTGCCTTGGGATCCCCCAGTCAGAGCTGGTTGATGTGGCCAGGGAAAGGAACGTTTGGGGTTCTCTGCTGGAACTGATACCTCCGCGAGCCGACCACGGATAAGCGGGAGAAGATGGATGGATGGATGGATAGTCAGAAGATGTCGTGCAGAATATCACTGCTCTCAGATCAAAAAGGTGGATTCATGTGCAGCCAAACGGGATTTATTCAATACTTCTACTCAAGAACGATATGATGATCTCCGCGCTACGGGTGCTCCGTGCATGCATGCAGTGACATGTAATATCCAAGGATTAGAGACTGTTGGATGCTGCTGTTTTGAGCATTGCAATATATTTATTTTCATTATGTTATTTATTTATGATTATTTTTAGGCTCAGCAAAGATTTGTTGTCAGTTTGTATAGGTGTTGCTATCTGCTTTTTTTTTTTGCGTGGTTCTACAATCTGAGAGTTACAAGGGTCTGCAAATGCAATGAAAACAATTGGCCACAGCAAATCATTTATATTAAAAATGTAATTTTTACTTTTGAATACTTCAGTACAAAGGATGTATTGAATAATTTAAGTGATAAATGTGTACACATAAATCATTAGTCAAAACAGGGCTACATTTTATTGAATTATAAAAGGTATATTTCGCAGATAAACCTATTAACCCCGCCCCCCAAAAAACGGCTCTTTTGAACAGCTCTCGCAAAGGAACGGAGCCATAAGATCCGGCTCCCTTCAAAGAGCCATAATTCCCATCACTACCTGTCACACGTACTAGAGGGGACCCAGAATCAGACTCGGAATCAGCTGGTGAGCATAACATTTGTTTATTAGAAAAGGGGAGCTGGGAGTGGAGGTTGGTTATGGCGGCAGTGGGAAACAGTTGTTCCAGGGTGGGTTGAGAGGCCTGGCTGGTCTTGGGAGTGTGGCAGGCCTTGGATTCCTCCTGGGAGAGACACAAAAATGAATGTGAGGCAAAAGCAGTCAAACAGGCAAAAGTTGTCAAACAAATCTGCTGGCTAAAAGCTAGAGCGGTACGCAACAAACCGTTCATGGCAACAATCCGGCAGGGAATGAGTGCAGGCTGCATCCCAATTGATTGTTTAGCCTCCTCCTTTCCCTCACTCGCGTCCCTTCCTTTCGTCTTAGCTCCGCCCCCGTAAGACGCGAGCGAGAGACACGAGGAAGAGACGCGAGGACAGAGGAGTCCTCAGGTATGAGTTGGGATGTCCTCGTTCACTCCAGCCTCACCATAAACAACGCCCTTTACTTTTGAGGCCTGTAATACGAAGCCGGATTTTCGCTTAGCGAGCTAACTTCAGGTAAAACTCTGGGTTTCCGGTCCTACGACGCTGGTTCTCTTTTTAGCGGGCTAGATCTCCATGGTAATTTATGCTGAGCGGCTAGCCTGGTCCAGAGCAGGTTAGGTTCCAGGATAAGAGATCAACTCAGTGAAAGCACCGCCTGCTGACCAATCAGAGCTCAGTGTGCGGAGTTTAAAGCTATCAAGTCATATTACAGGATAGAGGAAATACAGAAAAACTGCCGTTGCAGGAAAGACGGCCGGCAAAACGTGAACATTAATAGAATATCACCTCCCATCTTCAGAGCAATCTGACTATTATAACATTAGCGTTAAGAAAACTTACTTAAATATCTGCCACAACATAAGTAACAAATCAAAGTAACATTACGTAGCTTACAGTCCGCGGCACTGTGAGTGCAGACGTCGATGTGTCCCATTATCATTCATATCATATCACATCATAATGTATCATATATTTCCTTATCTGAGTCAGCTTCTTGAGCCGTATCTGGCCGTGCAACACTCACAGTGTCACATACTGTATGCAGAAGTATTATTTTAAGCAACACATTAAGTTGACGAAACACTCGAGTCAAATGTAATTAAAGTCAGATCGTGTCTTAGACGGGCAGTGATTTCATAAACCTGTTAATGTACGCATTCAAACACTTTTTCTGTTACCAGCTGTATTCACCTTGCAGGTGCAGCTATGTGGCTTTGATCCTGGATAAAGTGTTTAAGTCATGGATGTTTAAAGTTTAACTTCTTCATATGTCTAATATTATAGTTTACTTTTCATTCAGGAAGTATGACGCTGCGCTGTCAGTACGCTTCTCCATGTTTGTGATTGGTCAAATGTTGCTAGCCCCGCCCCTTTCATGTAAACGCGCACTCAGCCGGACAGAGAAACCCTGGCTTGAGTTACCGAGTTGATAACCAGCGTCGTAGGACCGCTTAGCGAGAGTGCGTTTATTTTGGATTAGGTAAGCCAGCTAACTCAAACATATCCAGGGTATGTTGAACTGGATTCGTAGGACAGGCCTCTGGTGCGCGCAGTTTTATCACCTGTCACTGGACTTCCCTCCACATAAATCCCTTCAAGCCTGGGATTTCGTTTCTCATTGAAATGATTTCGTCCATCTCTTCCATCCATCTCTTTTATTATAGTTTTCAATGTATTATTTTGGGTCCTGTATTGGTTTATCCAGGTATAACATTTAATTTAGGTTATAATTATAATCATAACAATAATAATAATTGATGGATTCATTTCATTATGGTATTTGAGCTTGTTTCAGATCAACTTTTGTATTGGATGTTGTTATTTAATTTGTCCTACAGAAGAGAGACACAAATCACTAAACGATTAGTTGGGTATGCTACACGTATTTTTACATATCCTAAATGTTTGACGTTCTGTGGGTTTTACATGCATCAAAAACCACAAGTAAGAACTGTTAAGTTATTATTTTATAATCAAAATATTATTATTGAATTTGTAAGTATATTTCACATACTTTAATGTTTTTATAGAGTATAATCTCCTCATTCGTTTAAGAGATTTATATATTTTACTCTTATTGAAGCACTTCAAACATTTAATGACTCTTGTTGTGTTTCAAAAACAACAATATTGCACGAAAATGTGTCTCAGGGCTTCTTAACATTTAACAACCTATTAATGTGTCATAGAAGTGAAGTTATAGTCATTTGTTCTGGGAATGTCATTTTCGAGCCTGAGACCTGAAAAACAGGCTCAGGGCTTAACAGGTTTAACAGTCAGAACAGCTGCAGTAAACAGACGGCTGTGCAGCTGGGGGCGGAGCTTTGATGCGCGAGGAGTGAAAACACTTCCGCGTAGTCTACACTGGTGTATCCTCGCTCTCGTCTCCTCTGGAAGCGTCCTCCCTCCTCTCTCCTCGGCTGCAGTTGAGAGAAAGAGAGAGAGACACACAGAAGAAACAAACACTAACAGGGGTTTCATGGACGGGCAGTGACACTACCATGTTTCTCTGGTCATTTACCATATCCATAATAAATATAGCATTTTAAGTCAAAGGGGTGATGAAGGCAAGATGACTTGTAGAGGGATGTTGTGGACCTAAATGAGTTTGTAGTGTAGTTTCCAGCATTGTGAACCTTGAAATGTTGAGTACCCCAAAGTTTTATGTTATAAATGTATAGGACGGGTCCCCAGACGTAGCAACTGCCGGATACTAACCTGCATATGTTGGGTAATTTGTACAATTAGCATAAATTGCGTTAATGAAAATGAATGGCATTATAGCCTATGTAAACAATAGTAAAAAAAATGGCTTGGCTGATTTGGACAATCTTTGAGTGATTTTGGAGGTTATTGATGATGCTGAATCCATTTCTGAGCATAGCCGTTTTAACCTGAAAGTGGCCATATTTGTACTCTTGTGGACTGATTTTGACTACCATCACTAGTGTTGCCACCATTGGATATAGAGAGCACGAGATGACAATTATTTTCTCTACTGTGGACAATGTGTACTTAAACAAATAGGCAATCTGTCCAATCCAACTGATCCAGAGCCAGAAATGGATTCAGCATCCTCAATAACCCCCAAAATCACAAAAAAATTGTCTGTTTTCCACATAGGCTACAATGGTAATTCATGCTAATAAACACAACTTATGCTAATTGTGCAAATTGCCCAACATATGCAGGTAAGCAAAACCGGCAGTTTCTTTGTGCTGGAGACCCGTACTATACATTCTAACATAAAACTTTGGGGTACTCAACATTTCCGGGTTCACAATAAGTGAGTCTAGGATCTGGCATATATTGGCATATATGGCATATTGTGGGATTTTCAACATAAAGTTATCTTCTCCGTCAGGTCTCTCCTGGAAGGCTCCGACACCATCTCCATCGACACGGCCATGGTGTCCTCGCAGGAATTCGGCTGCCTGCTGGACATGGTCTACACCGGCAAGCTGCCTCTGGGCAAACACAACGTGAGCCGCATCGTGGCGGCCGCTGACAGCCTGCAGATGTTCGACGTGGCTGTCGGCTTCAAAAACATCCTCACTAGTCTGGTAAACCAGCAAACTCCGGTCCATTCTACACATACCCCCAGTATCCCGGTGATAAACCAAGTCCAGAGCATGAACACTGATGGTTCCGCTTCACCCAGCAAGGAGGACACGACTTCAGACAAGACGGAGAGAGAGAGTGAGAGTGAAGCTGCAGAGGAGCCGGCGTGTAAAAGAAGCTGTGTGCAGAACTCAGGTCCGTGTCCGGCATGAATATACTGAGATACTTATTCATAATATCATATCAGTCCAATACAACTACTGTCAGAGCCATTTTACATTTTAAGATTATTATTGTTTGAATATCTGCAAATCAGAGGTGGGAAGTTGTGAAGTACAAATACTTTGTTACTGAACTGAAGTAGATTTGACTGGTGTCAGTACTTTACTCCACTATTCCGTTTTCTTTTTTACTCCTTACATTTTTAACACAAATACCTGTACTTTCTACTTCTTACATTTTAAAAACAGGCTTTAACTTAAATCTGCATTTGGTGACGTTATCATTATTATTTAGAATCATTGCGTACCTATTTCAACCTAAGATCATAGAAAAAATACAATCGGTGTATCCAGTATTTGCTGGTCTTCTCTCAAGAAGAGGGACCGATAAGAACTCAGCTCGAGGTATTTCCCATCATCCTTTGAGCTGTGCCGACGGCGGCAGGCAGCAGGAAGCAGCTAACCTTATCTCAAACCGTGCCAGTAGCCTACCAAGCTATTTCAACGGAGCAAGGCAAGAAAAATGGCTAACATTAGGGAAGAGGAAGAGGCAGGGGATTTAGACATTCCTAATCACCCATAGCCATATAAGAGGGAGATGTTCTATAAAACAGTTGGTAGTTATAGCTACTTTTGACTTAAGTACATCTCAAAGCCCATACTTCTTTGCCTGTACTTGAGTAAAGAAGTTTACTCGGTACTTTACCAGAGTATTTTCAAACACGAGTACTTCTACTTGAGTGTAGGATGTGTGTACTTTTGCCATCCCTGCTGCAAATATCTTAAGAATAAATAACTTACTTTACATTATTTGTTTTTGTGAATAACACTTGGATTTAAAGAATGCTAATTTACTTAAGTCAATTTAAGTCTCTTTTTTGCTGTCAATAAATATGCGCTGTGAGGCAGGATATGACATAGAAATGATAGAATTGGGAGGGATGAAACCCCTCTTTAATGGTCACACATGCAGAGCACACAGCACACAGTGACATTTTAACCCATCCTAGTACCAGGAGTCTAGCACTAGGAGCAGTGGGCAGCTATTGTACAGCGCCCGGGGAGCAATGGGAGTGGGGGGGGAAGGGGGGTGTCCGGTGCCTTGCTCAAGGGCATCACGGCAGGGCAGGAGGTGAACTGGGACCTCTCCAAGTAGAAGTCCACACTCCATATTTAAGTCTGTTCGGGGACTTGAACCGGCGACCCTACAGCTCCCAGTCCAGGCCCCTACTGACTGAGCCACTGCCGGACATGCGTGTGTGTATGGTAGAACAACGGGACACAGCGGAGAATGGTTAGACAGGGACGCGGTAAAGTCTTCTGACCGCAATCTTTTTGTTGGATTGGATTATTCCAAGAACTCCTTTCTGTTACCTTTAAATGAAGGTAGTTTATGTTGATCGTTTATGTTTATATGCCACTTGGATTGCTTATTAAATATGATCTGATGCAACGCTACAACGATCTCCGAGTCAGAACCCACAACTGCAACAAAGGACAGTGTTTTTTTATTTTAGAAACTGACTAAAACTCCACAACAACTTCCCTGAAATAAACAACAATGCTTACGACTTGTCATTTCTGTGTACACAGAGCCTGAAGAAGCCAAAACCTCAGTAGTGGAAGAAAACAACCCGACAGCAGCGCAGCAGTCTAACGGGCCTGCAGCTGGAGTTCTGGAACATTCCTCTGAGCTGGTGGAGCTCCTCAGCAACATGCCGTCTGTCCTGGAGCTGCTGAGCCAGGCAGCACAGGGAGGCCTGGCTGAGCAGGAGAGACAGGTAACCATGTTCACTGTTTATCACCAAAACACTGTGTGGATCCTTGAGGTCCAACCAATGTCTGTGAATACATCCTGTCTGTGTTACTTGACATCAGAAACTCCACAGGGAACCTTAAAGGTCACCTGTCATGAAAAATGCACTTTTTGATGTCTTTTATACATAAATGTGTCCCCGGTGTGTCAGGAGACTCAAAAAGTGTCCGAAAATACAACCCCCTCTCTTTTCCTCCTTACCCACATCTCTAAAAACAGGGGTACGACAGAGCTGATCCAGATTTGCTGCAGTCATGACGACATTACTAAAATGTGGGCTGGCTTTACGTTGAACTCCTGGCAACGTTCTGCCCCAACCTTTCGTCCCCATATACAGTCGCTATCTGAATCCCCTCCCCCTGTGTGTCTGTGTATTCAGCAGCAGGGCCGGCCCTTGGCATAGGCAGTATAGGCGAATGCTAAGGGCGCATCAACCTATGGGGGGCGCCGAACATTTTTATTTAAACAAAATAAATTATACATTTAAAAAAATGTTTTAAACAAAAACAAAACAAAACAATTTCCCGATTTTGGATCAACAAAGTACATCCTATTATCTTATCTTAACAGAACTACGCCTATATTGCATACAGCGCCCATAAACGCATATAAACTCCCCAAACAGGCGAAAACCTACCAGTTTCACCCACTATCTCTGCCACCTCCCTCCATGCCTGGCTCCTCTGGTTTGTATCCCGGGAGGTGAACAGGGACTGATCATATAGTACCGGGTGATTCCCTACCGCTATGATTAATTTCTCCTCCATTTTTTGGAATATGAGGAAATGACCTGCGGTGTGTCTCTCCCAGCATACACGCGGTTTGATTGGCTAGCGCTTGTACTGGCATATTTGCATAAACGGGATTTGATTGGCTGACGCTTCCACCGAAGCTTCAGAAGCTTCAAAAGTTGAACATTTCTCAACTTTTGCAGCAAGCCACACCAGCAAAGCTCCGCTTCGCTTCCCACAATGCAGTTCGGCGAAAAAGTGACGTCACCCCATTCAAGTGAATGGTGAAGCTTTCAACGCACGCCGCTGTGTGGACGGGCCGTTAGACTCTGACATCACTGTCGAGACGTTAGTGGCCGACTCCGCCTACTAAGGGCTTCTCGGCAACTCTGCAGAATCCTATGGGTGACGTCACGGACACTACGTCCATTTATATACAGTCTATGGGCCAGACCCAGAATCAGCCCTTTAGTAATTGTGGAGACACACTTGAAATGGGAAGACACAGACGCCCTACCAACTGAGCTATATGTATTCGTTTTATTTTTCCTAATATCTCCCTTTGCTTTATTCTCCACATTTCTCCATCTCCAAAATCTTTAAAAAATACATTGTGAACAAATGGCCATGGATGAAAACACAAAGTAGTGAAGGCCTTTGGTATCAATAGGCGCTTTCACACCGGAGTACTTTTCCCCGTAATTTTCCCTTTTAGTTCCGATAGTTCCTGGGATTTTGCGTTCACATCAAAAAGAGAACTTAGTTCATGATAACTTTTCTGTGCTGTGCTGGGAACTAAGTACGGCAAAGTACTTGGTGTGAAAGCGGCTAATACTGTACATATACTTCCTGTTTTCAAATTAAAAGGCTATCAGGGAAGGGGATTTGTCCTGTTTGAGCTCCTCGAAGCCTTTATTTTAAACAATCTGTGCATGAAGCAATAGCCGCTTTCACACCAAGTACTTTGCCGTACTTAGTTCCCAGCACTTAGTTCCCCCATGGAACTAAAGAGCAGATCGCGTTCACACCAGAATAAGTCCCTGAGTGAAGATTACGCAAATGAAGCATGGATGTATAATAAGAACTGGATACAGCGTGGGAGGCGGGGTCTCGTTCTTTCCTATGAGAGCTGCTCATTGGCGCAGGAAGACAAAATGGCCCAACTTTTGAAAGCGAAACGTCACAGATTACCCATCATGCCTGGCTGTCAGAGCAGAAGAACCCGTATGTGCGCTCACAGACCATGCGCCCCTTAAGCCCCGCCCCCCGAGCTCCCACTCTCGGCTCAGTAGAATGAATGGAGAGAGAAAATAAATCTAGATTCGGATTTTAGTGCATTTTACAACTTTAAGGACCGAATGATTTTAATAAGGGCTATAAAATAATTCATACTGGGTAGTTTATTTAGTTAAAAAAAAATTATCCACCGATTTACAGACGTCTCTTTCCCCATGTTAGTCAATGGGAAAAAGTTGTTTTGGGCCGGGTGACGTCACGGACTGATACGGAAATTGCAGTACCGCCGCTTGGACACAACGAATATTGGCACAGAGTTTCTAGCAGGGACTGAAAAGGGGGGAAAAGTTCTCATGAACTAAGTTCTCTTTTTGGTGTGAACGCAAAATCCCAGGAACTATCGGAACTAAAAGGGAAAAGTACGGGGAAAAGTACTCCGGTGTGAAAGCGCCTATTGGGGTTTATTTTTAGAATCTTGACAAAGAATACAAATCAAAATAGGAGCATTTAAAAAATATTTGTTGATGTAAACGGTTCTTCTTCTGTTGGAGAAGAGAGTGTTCTCAGCAGACTGAATATGACACGCCTCTGATGTTGTACTGATGCAATTAGTGTCAATTAACAAGGCAGGGTACACCAATGTTATTTTATTGATATATATAACACCAGTGGTGTAAAGCAGGCACGTGCACACATAGACATCAAAGTGGGCTTGAGCCCCTGCCCTTTTTCTTCCTCCAGAGAAAGTGCCCTTTTTTCCCCCTTTTTTTATTTATTTTTTATAAATGAATATATATCTACTACTGTTTGCGCACAGTTTCCCTTTCCAAAAATATATTGATTGAATGCAAAGTATCAGGTCGGGAGATTAGACTCCCTCCCTCCCTCCACGTCTCCATCACAGCGGTGCGGGCATCGGCAGTCACTTCAGACAGACAGGTAGCAGCACCTTAACTTAACTAGGCCTAATTAAAATGCGCTAATTGGCATGCAGTTACCAAGGCATTGCAGGTGAAAAGGATTAAACAAAAAAACATATCACCTCACAACTTCCCCAGTTACTTTACGTCAAGTCAGTATTTTCCCTGAAATGTTATGTTTAAATGCAGATTAGCTTTAAATCTATAGATGAATTCAGACATGGTAGTAAAACGAACACCATTTATATGTGCTTCTTGGAAGTTGTATTTCCATTAGAGTGAAAGAAAACATGGAAGCAAAATAGACCAAAATAACAAGTACATGAAAAAACGATCTTTTTGCCTGTAATGTCCTTAACCCTTGTGCCCTCCTCGGGCATTTTTGTACATTTTTCCTGACTTTTTTTTTGGATTTGGTGTTCATTTCAGCTGTGTTACAGCTTTTGGCATGGATTTTTGCAAGAAGTCTTCTTTTGAGTCAAATTTTTGAAATCCAATGTCGTTTACTCTTACATGTTTTGTATACTCTCGTGATGCATTTTGCACCCTCTGGACCCCTTCGTGGCAAAAATGTACACGCTCATAGAAACTGCTATTAAATCATCATACATCAATATTTTATTAAACTTTTTTTTCCATGAATCACTTGAACAACTTCTAACGTGCTCAAAACTACCAAACATCCAATAATTTTCAGGATTTTAACCCTTTAAATGCCTGTTTCATTATTTGAATTATTTAATTTCTCTTAAAAAAAAACACAAAAAATGAATTTCTTTCAATATAATAATTAGTAGAGGGATGGAACTTTGGTGGTTATTAGAGTCTGGGATGTGTCAAAGATTAGCAACAAAATTGATTTGACTGCATTATTAATTTTTACGTAGTGTCAGATACTACCTCTGGACCCCTTCGTGGCAAAAATGTACACGCCCATAATAACTGCTATTAAATCATCATACATCAATATCTTTTTCTACTTTTTTTTCATGAATCACATATACAACTTCTAACATACTCCAAACTACCAAACATTCAATCATTGGCAGGATTTTAACCCATTAAATGCCTGTTTCATTATTTTAATTATTTCATTTATCTCAAAAATGCCTCATTGACTTCCATTCAGACCACATTTGTTGATCTCACTGCCATTGCAGTATAAAACCATGCATTTTGTAATGTCAGCATTTCATTTAGAAGAAAAGTAGTGATATTTGATATTTCTACTCTATTCCAACAGATTACACAAGTTTCCGTGTAGGCCGATGCATTACATTCTTACATTTTTGCCAGTTATATTATGGAGCCGTGTGACTACCAGGGGGCCCCGAGAGTGGTGTGTGTGTGTGTGTGTATGTATATGTGTGTGTGTGTGTGTGTGTGTGTGTATATGTGCGTGTGTGTATGTGTGTGTGTGTGTGTGTGTGTCATTTCCAGCAGCAGACTAGCAGGTCCTGCAGCATCTGACCTGGTGCTCTCAGGTGATAGAACAACCATTTTTTAGGCCTGTGCACAACCAGCACACACCTCTCCTCCCTCTCCGTGTGTGTGTGAGAATCTGTAAGCATGCACAGATCATTTCATGGGAAAAAAAGGCCATCTTTTGAGGGATGTGTTTGATGTGTCTTTGAAGAGCTGCTTGATTACTCAAAAACAAAAAACAACTGTTAGTGTGTTTATGCACCTGGCTGCCAAAGATAAACATGCAGTTTGACCAAGGGCTTATTTCATTAGTGAGCAGAGAAGGAGAAAGACCTGGAGCAAAGAGAAGGAACTCAAATGAAGAAGCTTTTCAGTGCAGAGGAGACTTCAGAAATAATCTTGTGGCCTTCTTCTGCCAGCGAGCTGCAGGACTCATCTGAAGAAGACACAAGGTTCGAGGGGGGGTCTGACACTGAATGCTCTCTGGGGTCTGACACTGAATGCTCTCTGGAGTCCAGCATTTCTTTGAGTTCCTCTGACCCTTCATCTGAAAGTGGAGAGGACACTGAGGGTCCGGCCCACCATCCACCACCACGGGGGGCTTTCTTCTCACAATCTGTGAGGACACCCTGGTTTTCCCCAGCTCCTGGGAGAACGACCTCCGTTCTTCTCTGTCCCCTCACTGTGGGCCGGACCCTCAGTGTCCTCTCCACTTTCAGATGAAGGGTCAGAGGAACTCAAAGAAATGCTGGACTCCAGAGAGCATTCAGTGTCAGACCCCCCCTCGAACCTTGTGTCTTCTTCAGATGAGTCCTGCAGCTCGCTGGCAGAAGAAGGCTGCAAGATTATTTCTGAAGTCTCTTCTGCACTGAAATGCTTCTTCATTTGAGTTCCTTCTCTTTGCTCCAGGTCTTTCTCCTTCTCTGCTCACTAATGAAATAAGCCCTTGGTCAAACTGCATGTTTATCTTTGGCAGCCAGGTGCATAAACACACTAACAGTTGTTTTTTGTTTTTGAGTAATCAAGCAGCTCTTCAAAGACACATCAAACACATCCCTCAAAAGATGGCCTTTTGTTCCCATGAAATGATCTGTGCATGCTTACAGATTCTCACACACACACACACACACACACACACACACACACACACACGGAGAGGGAGGAGAGGTGTGTGCTGGTTGTGCACAGGCCTAAAAAAATTGTGTTCTATCACCTGAGAGCACCAGGTCACATGCTGCAGGACCTGCTAGTCTGCTGCTGGAAATGACACACACGCACACACACGCACATATACACACACACACGCACACGCACATATACACACACACACGCACATATACACACACACACGCACACGCATACATATACATACACACACACACACACACACACCACTCTCGGGGCCCCCTGGTAGTCACACGGCTCCATAATATAACTGGCAAAAATGTAAGAATTTAATGCATCGGCCTACAGTGGGAAAATGGTTTAATCTGTTGGAATAGAGTAGAAATATCAAATATCACTACTTTTCTTCTAAATGAAATGCTGACATTACAAAATGCATGGTTTTATACTGCAATGGCAGTGAGATCAACAAATGTGGTCTGAATGGAAGTCAATGTGGCATTTTTGAGAGAAATGAAATAATGAAAATAATGAAACAGGCGTTTAAAGGGTTAAAATCGAAAATGGTAGTTTTGAGTACGTTAGAAGTTGTATATGTGATTCATGAAAAAAAAGTTGAAAAAAATATTGATGTATGATGATTTAATAGCAGTTATTATGGGCGTGTACATTTTTGCCACGAAGGTGTCCAGAGGTAGTATCTGATACTACGTAAAAAATAATAATGCAGTCAAATCAATTTTGTTGCTAATCTTTGACACATCCCAGACTCTAATAACCACCAAAGTTCCATCCCTCTACTAATTATTATATTGAAAAAAATTCATTTTTTGTGTTTTTTTGTAATAAATAATGAAATAATTCAAATAATTAAACAGGCATTTAAAGGATTAAAATCCAGAAAAGTATTGAATGTTTGCTAGTTCTGAGTATGTTATAAGTTGTTTATGTGATTCATGAAACAAAAAGTAGAAAGAAATATTGATATATGATGATTTAATAGAAGTTATTATGGGCGTGTACATTTTTGCCACGAAGGGGTCCAAAGGTAGTATCTGACACTACGTACAAAATAATAATGCAGTGAAATCAATTTTGTTGCTAATCTTTGACACATCCCAGACTCTAATAACCACCAAAGTTCCATCCCTCTACTAATTATTATATTGAAAAAAATTCATTTTTTGTGTTTTTTGTCATAAATAATGAAATAATTCAAATAATTAAACAGGCATTTAAAGGATTAAAATCCAGAAAATTATTGAATGTTTGGTAGTTTTGAGTACGTTATAAGTTGTTTAAGTGATTCATGAAAAAAAAAGTAGAAAGAAATGTTGATGTATGATGATTTAATAGCAGTTATTATGGGCGTGTACATTTTTGCCACGAAGGGGTCGAAAGGTTGAAAATTCGAGGAGGGCACAAGGGTTAAACAGTAACTTCATCATTTTGATTGTTGGCTGCTCATTTAATAACTATTAATTTTACTAGTTTGTTGTCTGCTCTTGTGCATTGTGAATACTAAAGAAGACCATTAGGCGCTTTCACACCAAGTACTTTGCCGTACTTAGTTCATCAGAACTTAGTTCATCAGAACTCTTTAGTTCTGATGAACTAAAGAGCAGATCGCGTTCACACCGGAATAAGTCCCTGAGGGAGGATTAGGCAAATGAAGCCGCTAACGTCACTTCTTCTTCTTCTGCTTTGGGTTTACTGGCAGGCCGCAAACAACTGCACGGTGTATACTGCCACCCGGAGTCCCCGGCCGGAAGTCCCCGGAGTTGGGGACTGGCTTCTGAAGCCTTCTGAGTAAATCGCCAGAAACGCCGACACCTCCTCATCTCCACCGCTCCCATGTTTTCTTTTGTGTTGCCATAAGTTAGTCTCTCTCCGTTTGTGCGCTGGGCTAATGCTAATAATGCTAATGCGAGGAAAATAAAATGGCGGCTTCACAAAACTTTTTGGGAGTTTTACGGGGCGTGGTTTGCAATCCGCCCAGCCAATCAGAAATGGGAACCTTTTTCTCCCACGAAAGTACCTGCTCTCTAGCAGGGACGGAAAAGGGGGTGGAAAGGTTCTCATGAACTAAGTTCTAGTTCCGGATTTTTTTGGTGTGAACGCACATTTTCTGAACTATATCGGAACTGTACTGGGAAAAGTACTCCGGTGTGAAAGCGCCTATTGTCTCTGTGTTAGCTGATTATTTTGTAGAATATTGAGTATTAAACAATTGCGTGAGTGTGAGGGTATTAAAATAAATTGGTCAGTAAGTCAGAGATGTGCAACTATATTTAACTTTTTGTTTTAAAACATTTTTTTATAAATGATTATGGGAAGTGCCCTTTTTCTCACTTGAGCACCCGCCCCCCAAAATGTCTGTGCACGTCCCTGGTGTAAAGTAACTAAGTACATTTACTCAAGTACTGTACTTAAGTACTACAATTCAGAGGTAAATGGTGTACTTTTACTCCACTACCTTTATTGAATACCTTTAGTTACTTTACAGATGTGGATGAATGATGTGAAATATAATCAAGTGTTAAATCAGACTTTAGTTCCACCTGGAGTAAATTCACAAGCTACCCTGCAGTATACAAAGTCATTCAAACTAGCTGCACCTTTACCAGCTTTGAGAACACTTTCATGATCAATCATTATAAAACATATCATATATATTATTCTGAAATGGACCAATCTGCACAATGACTACTTTTACTGTCGCTACTTTCACTATATTTTGATGATACTTTTGTACTTTTACTTGAGGAACATTTGAATGAATGCAGGACTTTTACTGTAACAGAGTATTCCTACACTCTGGTACTTCTACTTTTACTCAAGTACAAGATCGGTGTACTTCTCCCACCTTTATCAACACAGAACTAATATAAAACATTTTTCTATGGAGAGAACATGTAAACATGAAAACAGGGCACCTTCTCACTAGAACATGATCAAATACTGGAGTGAGCAGTCAGACTCCGCTCTGCAGCACTGCTTTGAAACTACAAAGTGGTGTGTGTTTGAGGACGACAACATCAACACACACGGAGGCGGGCATTAGCTACATCGGTAAATGCATTGATGACTTAGTACCGAAGATTACACCGTAGTTTTGTATATGTCAGGACAATAAACCTTATGATCTTTACATCTTATTAAACAGCTCTACTAAAGAGTGAAGGCCTGTGTGTGTTTCTGAGGGAATAATGGAGTGTGTGCTCCTGCAGCTGGTGTGTGAGTGCTGTGAGGAGGCAGACCCCTACCCGGCGCTGGAGAAGCTGCTGAGCCTAGTGAGGGAGGAGCAGCTGAGCGAGGCGGCGCTCCTCACCCTGCTCCTCACCCTGCAGCAACAAGCCCCCTCCTCCTTCCCCTCCCCCCTGCTCCCCCTGCTGGAGGAGGCTCAGAGCAGGCTCACTGCAGGCGGAGAACTGTGTGAGTGGATATCGTTGTCAATAAAAAAATAAGGGTTGTATAAATAAAAAAATGTATATATCTAATTGTGATTATTGTGAATGTTTTTGCAATTGCAATTTGATTTGAGATATACGAGGCAGTGATCATTGTTTATCATTATTGTTACAATCATTGTGATGTAGTTTCTACAGGGATATGTTTTGTTTAATTTCTGCAGCACAACACTGTTTAATTCAACATGACATCTGGCACACATCTGCCTCCTTTTGATTTCTCAACCCTTTCCCATCTTCTCCAGTCGACTCTGGAAAGCAGAGCGGCAGTGAAGAAAAGCGAGAGGACGAGGACAAAAAAGAGGAGTCAGAAGAGGATGAGAAGGTCATTGATGCTCCAACAGACTCCTCCTCCCCCTCCAAGCCCTACCCCTGCCGCTGGTGTAAGAGGGGCTTTGCCTTCAAGTGTCGGATGCTGGCCCATGTGAAGCGCTGCCCCTCCTCTCAGGAGGGGGAGCAGCAGTGCCCGCAGTGCCCCAAGAAGCTGGCCAACCAGAGGGCCCTGCAGCAGCACCGCGCCGAGGCCCACCGCAGCACCACCCGCCTCAAGAAGAAGGTGTCATGTGACCTCTGCGGGAGAAACTTCGCCCACCCATCAGGTGGGCATTGTCTCTTTTAATATTTGTATTAAGGTGATACAATACCAAAACATTTAGGACAAAACATAATAAAACCCCAAAAAACAAAAACAGGCGAGGAGAAAATAAAAACCAAAACAGCAGTGTGTTTTAAGTAACTAGTCATGTGTAATGCATTACTTTTGTTATACTTTCCCAACAATGGCATTGTGACAAGTGTGACAAGTGTGACAACTGACTATGGGGTGGGGGGGCCTAGTGGAGCAATCACATCCATCATCACTGTCAGCTGAGACATGACTCATCCTGCCTTGTTGTCAGTTATCTAACAGAAGAAACAAAGGCCTCACTCATTAGATCCTTGGCGTTTGTTACAGTGTTTGATATACAGTAGTGTTGCTATCTTTAATAAAGGTTTATTTCATATTTCATATCAGCAAAACAATGAATTTGCCTGTATATCCAGGGTTCCCGCGGGGTCTTAAAAAGCCTTAAAAAGTCTTACATTTGATAATCTGAATTTAAGGCCTTAAAAAGGTCTTAAATATGACCAAAAAAATAAGAAAGGTCTTAAATATGATTTAGAAGGTCTTAAAAATGATCGGATTTGAAAGGTACTTCTCTGTTGCGATAGCGTCTAAATGTGTTTTGGGGGAAATGTCCGGGCTGCAAAGTAACCAGTACGGTAATAGCCTTTCAGTTCCCCCCAACCATTTGTATTGAAATAAATCAACATGGAACCAGTATACACTAACTTTGTTTCCCCCGGCCCCTTATCGGAGAGCACCCAGCTAGTAACCTAGCAACCAAGCTTCAGCTAACGGCAGTCAGAAACTAATGTATCTTAGAATCTACTTACAAATAAATATGGGGAAGTGTAAGTTCAACCGTATTTGGTTGGAAAACATCGAATTTAGTGCTTTGTTGAAACCAGGGGAGGGGAACGTCTTTGAAGCCCGCTCTGCACCTTTTGCAAAATAAATTAGTGTTTGTTTGGCTAATGTAGCGTTAGCCAGTGCAGCGTTAGCTAGTGCAGAAGCTCCCGCAACAACACCGGGGGACCTCCGGGCAACGTTTGGGTCTACGTCAACCCTAAAAGCGGAGGTGCTGTAGACGCTAAATACCGTAGTTAAACACCAATCATACAACAGCAACGATGAAAGATTGTAGCCAAGGCAGCAGAGCTCTGAATATAGCTCTTGTTACTCTCTCTCTCTCTCACACACACACACACACACACACACACACACACACACACACACACACACACACACACACACACACACACACACACACGGGCTGCTCGATTATGGCAAACATCATAATCACGATTATTTTGGTCAATAATTGATATCACAATTATTAAATACAATTATTAATTGACTTTGAAAACATCCATTTATTGAACTTTAAAACAAATAATAATTTGGACAGTATCTTTTTAACTGTTGATTACCCTGAACGTATAATTCAACTGAAAAAATTAATTAAATAAACGATACATTTAAATAAATAATATCAAAAATAATAAATACCAATAAACAAGATCAAAAAATATTTTGGAGCGCACTTCCACAAGCTACTAAACATATATAAATATGATAAATAAAAATAAATTAGACTAAAATTAATTAGATCAAATATGTTGTAGTGCACTGTCACAACCTAGCAAAGCAAAATAATCGATTATGTTTCGTAATTGCGATTAAAATACGATTAATTGCACAGCCCACACACACACACACACACACAGAGACACACACACATACACACTTTTTGTCTAACACACTAACACAGTTCTGTACTGTTATGCTGTTATGTTCAGTCATTGTTCTTATGTTGAACATGAATACATTTACTTTGTAAGTAATTATGGGACGTATTTCTTCTTTCATAGCAATTTTCCTTCATACTTTCTTGCCGTGAAATAGGTCTTAAATTCTATTCAAAGTGGTCTTAAAAAGGTCTTAAAAAGTCTTAAATTTGAGTTGGCGAAACCTGCAGGAACCCTGATATCAAACCATCATCGCTTTTCCAGCAGCTGTTTTTGGAAAACGACTTCATTTCATTTCATTTCAAACCTTTATTTATCCAGGTTGTATCCCATTGAGATCATTGATCTCTTTTTCAAGGGAGACCTGCTCAAGTAGGTTCCACATGAAACATTAAAAACATAAACAGAACAACAAAAGGACATCATACAGTAGCATTACAGGGATTACAATTTACATACTATCCACATGCACAGGTACCAACAGCTTCCGATTCAGTAGCATCCAACCGAGCTTTAAAAACATTTAGTGGCACCAGATTGCTCAGTTTCCATTTTAATTGCAGACTATTCCAGGACAGTGGAGCTGCGCATCTAAATGCTATTTTCCCTCAGACAGTCCTAGCAGTTGGCACATTTAATAAAACCACAGCATGCGATCTCAGGCAGTAGCCACTTACAATTCGCCGTGAGATCAGGGAGCAGATGTAGGATGGAAGTTTCCCTAACATGGCTTTATATATAAAAATGTACCAGTGACTGAGCCTCCGTACAGTTAGCGAAGGCAGACCAGCCCTTACATACAGGGTACAGTGATGGGTTAATGCTTTACAGTTTGTCACAAATCTCAGTGCACTGTGATACGCAGCATCTAACTTGACCAGGCAATTGGCAGGTGCATTCATATAAATCAGATCACCATAGTCCAGCACAGGTAAAAAGGTCACAGTGACTAGCCTTTTTCTGGCCTCGAGCGAGAAACAGGACTTGTTCCTGTAGAAGAAACCTAGCCTAACCCTCAGTTTTTTAAGCAGGTTATTGACATGACGTTTAAAAGTGAGACAATCATCAAGCCAGATACCAAGGTATTTGTAACAGGTAACCACTTCAAGTTTTATTCCTTGCGTAGTTACAATATCTAAAACAGGCTCTGGTGTCTTTTTGGCTTTTGAAAAGAGCATTACCTTGGTTTTATCAACATTTAAAAGAAGCTTTAGTTCAGAGAGCTGAGTCTGAATAATGTTAAAAGCAGCTTGCAATTCAACAACAGCCTCCTTAATGGAGGGACATGCACAGTACATAACGGTATCGTCCGCATAAAAATGTAAGACTTGTTTGCAATAAGCAATGCCTTTTGACTGAGCTCTTCGAAAAGTTTCTCACAGATACTGTATTCTAAAGACAGTTCTCATTCTTGAACCTTTTCTCTTTTGAAGGGAACAGGAAATGCAAGTTTCAGCAGCAAAGACTGGAGGAGGTACTCTTGTTAGAAACCCATCTCTTCCAAAACCATTTCCATGTGCAGACTCAAAGGAAATCCATAGCCTATCAATATTAAGTCCACAACAAACCCATAATGCAACACTTTCTAAGTGTAATGAAACATTTAAATGGAACACAAACAGTACGAGCTCCGTCCATGAGAATATCTGCTGTTGTCAGGTAGCTTGATTTCAATACAACCTCCACTTTTTCATATGTCATTTCCAGAAAAGAACAGTCATGAATGTGGGCTTATACAGTAATGGTAAATTAGTCTTTACTTCAAAATAAATGAATGTCTAACTTTACAAACTGATTTTGAATAAGTTTAGGGTCATGGGTTTGGCTTTAGCGGGTCTTACAGTTTTTAGGACCTAATGGATTAGGAGAGGACATCTCATGTGTTGGTTCTGTATACTGGGAAGTTGATCTATCTGAAAATGATCAGCTGATTAACAGACATGCTACAAAACAATTAGAATGAAGTGAAAACAGACTGTGAAAGCTGTAAATCAACCTCATGCTGTGATGAAGAAGACTTGAAACTAGAGATTGAGACCATAAACCCGTTAGAAAATGTTTATGGAGGTTATAAATGTTGCTGTTCGGGTCCACAAGTTGTTCACTCATCATATTGTTGTTGTTTTTTTTTCTTTATGTACTTGATTGTAATGTTTCTGGTGCCATCCAGGCATGCTTTACCACAAGCGCACCGAACACTTTGAAGAGAAACCGTTTGCTTGTGAGGACTGCGGCGCAAAGTTTGGCGCCAACTCTTCTCTGAAGAATCACATGAGGCTGCACACAGGAGAGAAACCGTACTGCTGCAAACACTGCCACATGAGCTTCAGTGTGGCTGCTGCACTCGCATACCACACCAAGAAGAAACACTCTGAGGGTAACACACACACACACACACACACACACACACACACACACACACACACACACACACACACACACACACACACACACACACACACACACACACACAAGAAAACACTAATATTTTTATCTGACCAGTTGTTAGTTCTTTATTGCCATTAAAAACTTGTATTTATTTTTCTTTTGAGTTGAATACTAACTTTATATGACCATATATTTTTACATTATTCCACTCAAAGTCCATCATTTATCCTTTTGTAACACGTTCTGACTGCAAGCCACCATCCCCATTATTGAAATATAATATATATATAATGTATTTAACAGAATACAAATCTGAATGTTTCCAGATCTTGTAGAAATTGTTAAGTATGTCACAGCTTGAAAAGTCAGTCTTGTTATTGGGCGCTTTCACACCGGAGTACTTTAACCCGTACTTTTCCCGTTTAGTTCCGATAGTTCCTGGAATTTTGCGTTCACACCAAAAAGAGTACTTAGTTCAGAGAACTTTTACGGCCTGTCCACGCGGCGGCGTGCGTTGAAGCTTCAACGCTTCTGCCCATTCACTTTGAATGGGATGATGTCACACTTTGCCGAACTGCATTGTGGGTGCGTCGCTTCGCTTTGCTCGCGTTGCTCGCTTCCAAATTTTGAGCAATGTTCAACTTTTGAAGCTTCGATGGAAGCGTCAGCCAATCAAATCATATGCCAGTAAAAGCTCTAGCCAATCAAACCGCTGGGCACATGCCCCTTTCACACCAACGCCTTTTCAGGGCCGGCTCGGAGCTAGAGCCTGAAAAGTACCAGTTTTTCGCAGCGGCGCCGCCTCTTAGCTCCGGAATCCGGTTCGTTTCCAGCTCCAAAAAATTGTCGGTCTAGAAGCAGGATTCCGGAGCTAAGAGGCGGCGTCGCTTACGTCTCTCTTACGTCGAGGCGTGCAGGAAACTAAACCCACCTCCCCTGAACATGGGTCGACTGAAGAGTCTCGTCATGCCTGCCTACAAGCAGTAGCGCTGAGCAAAGTGACTAGAAGGCAACCACAGTCAGGCAACACTAACCAGGCTTCGTGTGATTCTGTTTATTTGTACCTTACTTTGACCATCCGTTCACTGTCATTGATCATTGTGGAGAGCAGGCAGACGTTTTGTTTGTTATTATAGCAGCTATCGGATGGAATCAATACATGGGCTGCACAGGTTGTCATGTCCGACTATCACAAGTAGAATCATAATGAAAAATACGTCGGTAAAAAGTGCCTGGAGAAAACGGCTTAGGCCTATGCCACAATAGGATAGCAATAGCAAGTAGTCAGTTTAGCTTCGGTTGCTATGCTAACTAACATCACCCATTTTATACCAGAGAAACTTTCATAACAGCGTTGTGATGCCAAACAGCGTCAATTCAGACTGACACACATTCACTTAAGGGGAACTGGGGATATGTATCAGCTGCTTGTGTGACAGTCAGACAGTGAATACTTTAGAGCCGTGTGAGCTAACCCGGAGCTAACGGGAGAATAAACTCCCGTGGAAGAGCAGCCAGCACTGCAGCGGTCGGTAAATGCCGCTGAAACACATTAATAAACAATGAACCACGGCACTCTGGAGAAAAGTATAAGGTTGGAGAAGTCGTTATTTAATTTAATCTGGCTTCGTATGATTACAAGCAACACGATCATCGACTCCACGCAGTCCCCCGTTGTTGTTGTTGTTGTTGTAGTTGTTGTTGTTGTAGTGAGCGCAGTAACGCCGTTGGGGAGCAAATCAGTGATGTAAACGGTGACGTCATGACGCAGCAGCGGCAGCACCAGTCGGGCTCTGGGCGGTGTGAACAAAACGGGAGCAGAAAAGGGAAACCGGAGCTGAACCAGAAAAGCTCTAGCACGGAGCTAGAACGGGAAAAGCGCTGGTGTGAAAGCCGCATATGTGCTGGGCACTAAGTGCTGGGCGCTAAGTACTTGGTGTGAAAGCGGCTATTTATTATTTTTCTACAGTGACGTCATTTAAAAATAAATGTGTTTTGTTTCTTCTTTGTGTTCAGGAAAGATGTATGTGTGTCAGTACTGTAAGGCCGTCTTCGCCCAGTCCATTGAGCTGACTCGTCACGTGCGCACACACACCGGGGATCGGCCGTATGTGTGCAGAGAGTGTGGCAAAGGTTACAGCCAGGCCAGCGGACTCACAGTGCATCTGCACACCTTCCACAGTGAGAACACAGACTCTCACACACTGAGCAAAACACTGCAGGAACGGTTTTATCCACTAGAAAAAAATATAAATGAATGATCATCTTTGATAGTTTCCTTAAATCCTTTCAATTTTGTTACACTATAGAAATATAGACATATACTACAGGAGCAGTAACATATAAACATGTGATAGTATATAAATTACAGATGTGCAAGGAACTGTTGTGCAAATTGTTCATGGTTATGGAGAGGGAGAAACTAAAACTATCTAACAGCAATCTGGTGCAGAAATGAGTCCTTAAACCCGGAAATGAGTCAGCATTTATAAACATGTTTGTGGTTAGATGCCTGAAATAGATCTGTGGTTAACACAAGCTGAAGACATTTGAGCGTGTTGTTCTATGACATAAAATACGTCAGTAAATCCGTTAGTAAATACCCCACCGGGGAATTTAAAAACAGCGTGTCCAAGTGAGACGACTAAACGTCATCACGCCCAACATTAGCCGCCTTTAGCTTAGCGGTGGTGAAGCACAGCCATGTGTGATGTAGTTTGTTTATAGCCTAACGTTAGCTTTTTACTGCCGATTTTATTTACACTTCAAAAAACACAAAAGTGGTTAATATGTGGAGATTGTCCTTAGTGTGTGAGTATCATTAACGTGTTTGTGCCAAAGATCTCTTTTTCTGCAACATTCTATAATCCAATGAGGAAATCTCATTGCTTTTTGTCGATGGTGCACTTGCGAAGTCCGGGTCAGCCTACAAAAAAACGTCATCACTGCACCGCTCTGGAGTTACACATTTGCAGAAAAAAGGATTTACCGAATGCATCACTTGTTGAATACTATAATCAAATGTATTAACTATGATCTGCTCCCCCGTCAGATCTGTTGGAACCTCATGACTGTCAGAAGTGCTGCCTCAGCTTCTCCTCCCTGGAGGAGCACCGGCAGCACATCCACGAGCTCCACCCCAAGGAGTTCCACAAGTGCCCCACATGCGACAAGGTGTTCACCAGCGCCGCCCTGCTGGACAAACACAAGGGCACACACACAGGAAGCAAGCCCTTCAGCTGCGAGCTCTGCAACAAGTCCTACCAGGTCTGAGGTCATGTCTTTAACCCTTCTCTTGCGTTTCGGGTCAAATCTGACCGAGTGATTTAGTTTTTTATCATAAATATTGTGTTTTTCATTCAATTGCCTCAAGACCTTATGTTATCCTCCACACTAGGCCTCTGAACATATACAATTGATGATCACCACTTGCATTGATTTTTTAGTGATTTAGCACACGCACACACACACACACACACTCTCACAAACACACACACACACACATACATTTCTTGTGCTTGTGTCCCCCCACACCTTCCAGACAAAACAATTTACTCTTAAGTTACGGGAACCTCTCACTTTCTCGCAATGTACACACACACACACATACACGCATACATATACACATATACACACACGCACAGACACACACATACACATACACATGCACACACACTTCTTGTGCTTATGTCCCCCCACACCTTCCAGACAAAACAATTTACTCTTAAGTTACGGGAACCTCTCACTTTCTCTTGCTGTATGATACAATGTATCATACCTTCTCACAGGTGCGAGCTCTGTGAAAAACCTCTCACTTTCACTTTCACTAAATGCCCCTCCCTTACTGTCTCTCATGCAGTTATATTTGTGCCTTGCTCACATTTGACTCAGACCCCGTTTACACAAGGACGATACGGGTTGTATATAGCTTCTCTTGCGTATAGCCCGTTTGTTCACACGAGGCCGACACATAAACGCGTAAACGGACCCCGCAAACGATAACTGGTCCCAAGGTGGATAGATCTGCAAACGGAACGCTCTGGGGGGTCAGACGGCTCCGTGTGTAAGCCTCTATACCAGGGGTGGGGAACCTTTTTCCTCTCAAGGGCCATTTCAATTTTTTCAACATCCTCCGAGGGCTGTACAAATGATTGACCTCTGCTTAAAAATACTAAAATCACAGCCCATTCATTTGGCCTTTCTTTCATGCTGTGCAAAGAAAAAGCAACCTCTTAATCCAGATATCTTACCTTGACTCGCGCATGCATGCACGTGCACGGTTGTGGCATGACCACCACAACAGAAAGATATGGACACAAGATTTTTTTTTAAATGTTGAAGTTAAAAGCATCAATCTGGTGCACTTTGAGAGCAACATTAAGAGATCTATGGATACATCTCTCAACATCCATATGAAACAGAACTCTAAGCAGATTTTCTTTTTCTTTATGGATATTTTACAAATCACTCCCCTTTCAAACTGTATTCTTGTTTATTAATAACAACTTTTTGTTACTGTCATATAGTATTTTATACCTGTTTACTTTATTCTCTTATTTTTTTATAACTATAATGATCATATATAGATGTGCCTTTACCTGACTGGTTGGAGAAAAAGCTTCTTATATTCGTTAGCATAGTTAGCTAACCAGATGCTAATAACAACAAAGTTATTGACTGTATGATCAGTATGACAGATGAACAGATCGCCACTGGGCTTTCAACTAAAGACACAGCAACCACGCAAAAACTGCGGCATGTGTACGGCTCCTTATGGGTACTGCAATTTTTGAAGTGCCGGAGCGGCGTTCTGTCGCTCTCCGTCAGAACAACACCCCTGTCAGACGAGACATATAGAGTGGCGAAGTCCCTCCCCTTCCGGTGGACCTCCATGGGACCTTATTTCGGAAAAAATGTGTATTGAAGTCAATGGAGAGAGAAAGATTATCTTTCGATCCCGTTTGAATTGTGCCACGAATTACACATATGATGTTTGTCAATTTAAAAGATAATTTTGCAAGTCAAAAAAAAAAAAATGTGTCTTAAAACTGTGAAGTAACACATTTTTTTGTGTGAAACGCTCAATGAACTACATCTCTGGTCAACAACACACGTCACCAAGATGGCCGTCACTACTGTCTTGTCAACAAAACGATTGACTACCCTCACTATCACCACAATGAAACACGTCCTGAAGAATGTCATGCAAAGCTGCCTGCCTGCCTTCCTTTGATTCTCTCTGAACTGCCTGGTCGTTTGAATGTTTAATGTCAACCATTTGTGCAGATAGCATGAAGTAGAAAAGATCGCCGAAGCTAATGTAGCATTAGCGTTAGCATTTCTCCCCCGGGCTTAAATGGTGTATTATGGAATGATCACACCGGTGTGACGGTACTCTTCAAAGGGTTCACGAAATATGACTACTACTCTTACTGTTTAACATTTTGGTTTACTTAATGTTACTTCATGTTAAGGCTAATAAAAATGACAAGGCTAAGCCGGCTGTAATGCTAACTAACGTGCTTGCTACTAGCTAGGTAGCTAACTTGATCCAGCCACTCCTGGTACTTTCATCAGACGGGAAGTGAAAGAACGAGCAAGACCCATTGCTGGTATGATAACAACCTGGTACTAAGCACACAGGCATCTTGTGAAAGTTATCTTATCTTAGCCGCGCCATAGATAGATTCTATCTATATGGCGCTGATCTTAGCTATCTCTTAGTAGAGGAAAACAATTGTGACATCACTTACGCGACTCTGGGATTTGTAGTCTTTCTAGTTGCGTATTTTTCATAGTCTTATATTTCAACAGTTTTACGACAAACTGTGACTTTTTTGACATGGAAATTATTTTTTAAGATTGACAAACATCATATGTGTAATTCATGGCACAATTCAAACGGGATCGAAAGATAAATGTTCTCTCCCCATTGACTTCTATAGAGTGGCGAAGTCACGCCCACTTACTTCCGGGTAATGGGACCTTATTTCGGAAAAATTATGCATTGAAGTCAATGGGGAGAGAAAACGTATCTTTCGATCCCGTTTGAATTGTGCCATGAATTACACATATGATGTTTGTCAATCTTAAAAAATCATTTCCATGTCAAAAAAGTCACAGTTTGTCGTAAAACTATTGAAATATAAGACTATGAAAAATACGCAACTAGAAAGACTACAAATCCCAGAGTCGCGTAAGTGATGTCACAATTGTTTTCCTCCACTAAGAGATAGCTAAGATCAGCGCCATATAGATATAATCTATCTATATGGCGCTGGCTAAGATAAGATAACTTTAACAAGATGCCTGTGTGCTTAGTACCAGGTTGTTATTATACCAGCTCGTTCTTTCGCTTCCCGTCTGATGAAAGGACCAGGAGTACTCTGGATCAAGCTAGCTAGAAGCTAGCACGTTAGTTAGCATTACAGCCTTGTCATTTTTATTAGCCTTAACATGAAGTAACATTAAGTAACCCACAATGTTAAACAGTAAGAGTAGTAGTCATATTTCGTGAACCCTTTGAAGAGTACCGTCACACCGGTGTGATCATTCCATAATACACCATTTAAGCCCGGGGGAGAAATGCTAACGCTAACGCTAGCGATCTTCTCTACTTCATGCTATCTGCACAAATGGTTGACATTAAACATTAAAACGACCAGGCAGTTCAGAGAGAACCGAAGGCAGGCAGGCAGCTTTGCATGACATTCTTCAGGACGTGTTTCATTGTGGTGATAGTGAGGGTAGTCAACCGTTGTGTTGACAAGACAGTAGTGACGGCCATCTTGGTGACGTGTGTTGTTGACCAGAGATGTAGTTCATTGAGCGTTTCACACAAACAAATGTGTTACTTCACAGTTTTACGACACATTTTTTTTTTTTTGACTTGCAAAATTATCTTTTAAATTGACAAACAACATATGTGTAATTCGTGGCACAATTCAAACGGGATCGAAAGATAATCTTTCTCTCTCCATTGACTTCAATACATAATTTTTCCAAAATAAGGTCCCATGGAGGTCCACCGGAAGGGGAGGGACTTCGCCACTCTATACATAATTTTTCGGAAATAAGGTCCCATGGACCGGAAGTAGATGGGCGTGACTTCGCCACTCTATACCACGTGATGACACGTTAGGCTTGTGTTGTGTTCAAGGACCCTGACCTTGGCCAGGAAAAACAGGCACTCGCTTGTTTAATTCTTTTGCGGTCTAGATTTCTTAAATTTTTTTCTTTTTTGCGTGTGTTTATAAATGACCTCGAGGGCTGTACCAAATGGTCTCGCAGGCCGTATACGGCCCGGGGGCCGGAGGTTCCCCACCCCTGCTCAATACGATCATTTTCTGATAACGATGAAATAGCCCCGCCTCCCACTCCCCACGTCTCCCTCTCCCCACCTCTCCTGCTCAGAGATCAGCTGCTGGGCTGTCAGAAGAGGGGGAGGAAAAGAGAGGCTCCATTTATTATTCTTATATTATTATATAGAGTCGTTATCAATTTGTTTTAAAGCTCAATAAATAACAAAGAAGACCTCTGACCGGCACTTTTCTAATTTTGTCCGGAAGATTTCAACTTTAACGGCGAAAAAAAATCTAACTGAAACTCTGCTGCACGGTCCCCTTGGAAGAGGCGAAGAGGCGGAGTGGTGGGTGTTTTTCATCTGCTGGTGGACTACCGGAGAGATTTACAGCAGGAGCAAACGCTTGCCTCGGGGAGGGAGAAAAAGAGCCAGAGCGTCCACAGCGGAGAATAAACAGGGCAACCATGGCAACCATGCGCGGGAAGTCTTCTTCGCTGCTTTTGTGGCAGGAGTACAGCGCCACTTACAGGCCTGGCATATGTACTACAGCGTCTCCAGCGCTTTCGAGCGGTCTCGTGTGAACGGACACGTTTCTGGTGCCTATTGCGTGTGGACGGAATACCTTTTTGATAATGATTGCGGTCCGTTATCGTTATCGTCCTCGTGTGGCAAGGGTATAAAAGTTAGAAGTCTTCGGGCGGACTGTGTGACCTCAGCACAGAAGAATCCATATGACGAGGATCACAAAACACAACAGACATTTATTTTTACAACAGAGGTGGGAGAAGTACTCAGATCTTGTACTTGAGTAAAAGTAGAGTGTAAGAATACTACAAGTAAAAGTCCTGCATTCAAAATGTTACTCAAGTAAAAGTAGAAAAGTATTAGCATCTAAATATAGTTAAAGTACCAAAAGTAAAAGTAGTCATTGTGCAGATTGGTCCATTTCAGAATAATATATATGATATGTGTTATAATGATTGATCATTAAAGTGTTATCAAAGCTGGTAAAGGTGCAGCTAGTTTGAATGACTTTGCACACAGGTGAGCAGACTGTAAGCAGCTCGAGTCATTTCTCCAGACTCGGTGTTTGCAAAAGAATATGGGAATATTTAGAGATGAAAGTCTGTTGGAAAAAAAATTCCATTCAAATATATTTTCAATACCTTCACTTGCATAGTTTGTGCAAACAATTAAACCATAGTAGCGTTGTTATTTATATTGATAAGCTAATAGTTTCAACAGAAATGTTTATTTCCAAAGGTTACATGACATTATATTTTAAAATCCCACATAGTACAAACACACTCTTTGTCCCAAATGTGACTTAGTCAGCCTATTGGTTATTGCCTCCATCAAAATGTTTACATCCTGTATGGAGAGTAGGGCTGCTCGATTATGGCAAAAATCATAATCACGATTATTTTGGTCAATAATTGATATCACAATTATTAAAAACGATTATCCATTTTCTTTGAAAACATCCATTTATTGAAACATTTATTTTTAACATTATGTTTTTAACAGTTGATTACCCTGAACTTTAAGTATAATTCAACTGAAAACACAATAAAAAATGTTTTAAATTTTTTTTTTTTTTTTTTTTTAATTAAAAATAATAATCGTTTTATTTCGATTAAAATACGATTAATTGCACAGCCCTAATGGAGAGCATGGTGTCCTGTGTATTTAATGTATGTGTCCCTCTCGGTTTCCGTAGCAACTGTCAGGCCTCTGGTACCACAACAGGACCAACCACCCTGACATGTTTGCTAACCACACCCGGCAGCTCAAGACTCTGTGCCAGTGTGACGTCTGCTTCAAGTTCTTCCCCAGCGCTGCCAGTGTGGCCAAACACCAGGCAGCAGAGCACCAGGGTGAGCACACACACACACACACACACACACACACACACACACACACACACACACACACACACACACACACACACACACACACACACACACACACACACACACACACACTCTCAACACAGTAATACATTATAATACACACGATGCACCAAAGCTATTAAGCCTCAAGAAGAATCTGAGACATATTTTTCTACATCTCAATTTCATTTATGCTTCACAAATGCATCGTAGATGTTATCATAAACAGTCTGGTTCATATTCACTGTGGTCAACATGGCATCAAGGAGGGATGAAGAACAGAGGAAACAACATCATACCTTTAGTAGATATGAAATCTCAAATCTGTGAGAAAAGGAGACCCAAGAGATCGTGAAAGTGATAGATGCTACCGGAAAAAGAAAGCTTTTGGTGAAAATCCATTGAACAGACTTTTTAGCCTTGATCCAGTATGATAAATGAATTAAATTAACATGATTCAAGTTTCCCCAATTTGAATTTCATTTGTCTGTGTGTAATGTGTAGGTTGAAAGAAAAAGGTTTGGTTTTTAAAATGATCTTCAGTTTTTGTATTATTCTCAGTTTGATCCTCTTGTAGATGTGTTGGATCACAGCATGGTCAAACAACATGGGCTTTTCCCTCACTATTGGATCCATCATTATGCTCTGAACTGGATAGGAGACAGCACATCACGTGTTGTGTGAGGACAGCCTGTTTAGCGGCTAACAGCAGCTCCTTGTCTCCTCTCCTCCCTGACCCCGTGTTCTCCTCCCTGACCCCGTGTTCTCCTCCCTGACCCCGTGTTCTCCTCCCTGACCCTGTGTTCTCCTCCCTGACCCCGTGTTCTCCTCCCTGACCCTGTGTTCTCCTCCCTGACCCCGTGTTTTCCTCCCTGACCCCGTGTTCTCCTCCCTGACCCCGTGTTCTCCTCCCTGACCCCGTGTTCTCCTCCCTGACCCCGTGTTCTCCTCCCTGACCCCGTGTTCTCCTCAGGCTCCACGGCTGCAGCGCTCACCTGTCCCTACTGCCCTGCTGTGCTGGGGGGGGAGGAGGAGCTGCAGGAGCACCTCAGCAGCCAGCACCTGGAGGCCTCCAGCTGCCCCTTCTGCTCCCTGCTCTGCTGCTCCCAGCTGGAGCTGCAGGAGCACCTGCTCTCCTGCCACATGGAGGCTCAGGAGGAGCAGGGGGGGGAGGAGGAGCAGGAGGAGTCCAGCTCCCACACTGTAAGCATCATTACATCAACAAAAGGACTTTTGAATATCAGGTCATGAGTTAAGTCATTTATAGGTAACAATGTCAAAAATGAGTGGGGTTTTTTGCTTGTTTTACCTAATTATTATACTTTATTATGAATACATGTACAGTTAAAAAAACTAAGTTATCTTAAGATTGTCCAAAAAAAGCAGTTTAACAATAGAATAAAACATTTGTTATCATATCATAAGACAGGCTTGTCTCCCACATCGGGGGGGTCCAAATGTAATGCTATGTTTTGCCTTACAAATGTGACCATTTGTATAGTTGTTGCCTTACATACCAAATGTTGCACATCCCAACCACACACTGGGCCAATGTGCACTTCAGCCTTTGAAAATATATATTCCATACATTTGTAATGTTGGTCTTTTATAATGTATTGTACTATCCCTTTAGCACATGCTGAATGAGCAAGTGAAAAATCAAACATTTGACTCAACTTACTCAGCAGCCTGATGTGGTAGCTGGACATTTCTCACTTCTTTTAAATACTGATCAGCGCAGAAGTGAAACCAAGATGTATTTGTAGGTGCAACACTGAGGGGGGGGGGGGGGGGCATACAGTGCAGAAACAGTGAACGTTTCCACCAACAGAACAGAGCAGCTTCACCCTTTATAAATAAATACAAATCTTGAACATATGACTTCTCTCTCCAATCAGGAGACTGCAGCACATCCAGCAGGAAATGAAGGGGCGGAGTCAGAGGCCCAGCAGGTGTTTGTGGCTCTGGCAGGAGGCGGGGAGGTCAACATGTACGAGCTGCTCAACAGCTCTGTCACCATCATCTGTGAGGACAAGCCGGGAGCTGCGGACTCCTGACCCGACCTCTGACCCCTGGAGGATCAGAGGTATGTCTCAGCTACAACACACAACCCAGGCCATGGACTCAGTGTGATGAAGCTTCACGTGTACTCCACCAAAATCTGTTCTGTGGTGCAGCTGTGTGGCCGTTTTCAGACCAGTGAGGGTTCCTGACTTTGGAAAAAGTTCTCATTAATTTAAGTCCAGCTCTGCAAACTCCATTCCCTGATGAAGACTTTACGTGTTTGTTTATTGAAGGAGTTTTTTTCTTTGTCACCAAATTCCATAAAAAAGACTAAAACCCACTGTGTGTTTGTGTTCCTTTCATTGCTCTCCAACATCACTCTTTCATCTGTGGTTCTCTGACAAGTTGTACTAAGTCTTTCAAAAAAGTTCCTCTCATATCTGGTTGCTTTTTAGTATCGAGCCAACAGGAAATAGTGTGTTAGTTGATGACAGCTCCTCGGACCGTGCACTTTTTCTTATTTCAAATAAATACAAGTAATCAATTCAAATGTAGTTCTGTGTTTATTACAGATAGTGCTGAAAAGGACTGGAGAAATAACTTCCACTGTGATCTCCTCATACAGCACAGCCATACTCTTTATGTAGAATGAGTTGTTCTCAGTAGCATCTCAAAGTAAAGAAGTAACAACATTCTCACTATTTGGATTTGAACACCTCTTTTTCATCAAGGAAACATTCATTATTGCAGAACATGATCATCAAACCGCTTCAAACATGGCAACAAACCCAGCAAAGAGCGGCCGGTTTTTAAACCCAGTCTGGAAATGAAAAGGTGGAAGCATTTCTGGTTCCAGACTATTTCCTGGCGTTACCTATACAGTCTATGAGCGTTAGAGAACCATTATATGTTGAATTATCTTCCATTATTATTTTTAATTACACACAGAGTACATTCCATGACCATCAAATGGTATTATGTCCAAAAAGTATTTACATAAGCTGCCTGTATGTGCTGCAGTACATCCAAAGGTCTTAGTGCATCAGGTTTACAAATCAGGGCTCTGGCTAAGTGCTGGATACATCATTTTGCTGTGAAAAACGTCCTGCTTGGACTTTGATATGCCCTGAATACAGCCTGTCAGGCAGTCTCTGCTAGGTGCTGCTGTGTGGCCTTCTCAGCTAGTTCTGTAGACAGTATCAAACATTTAGTTTGATGGTTAAGCCTCACTCAGAGAGAAGCCAGTTTGGGGAGACCAACTTGTAATTGATTAGCCCTTGGATCAACAGAGTTGCTCTGAATTAGAAACTGGACTAGAATTGGAGGGTAAAGTGCATTGATTGCATGTTCTACCAATTGAAATACTTTACAGAGATATTGAGAAAGACTAGACAGAACTTTGAGCACGGGTGAAATATGATGGGAGGTTTTCATTTGCATTCAATTCCTGGATTGTGCCTTTGGCCTTGTTTGAGAAAGCAACACATAAGAGGGGTCACTATTGAGTGAACTCTATTGTACACCTATTGACTACAAAAGCAAACATAACACAACATAAAAGGTAGCACATCAGAGGTGATGCATGTAGCTTTACACATATAATTATCAAAGCAAGCAACTTAATAATAAATGAGGACTGAGGAAACCATCCCCCTAACACCAGTGATATAAGCAAATGTTCAAAGAGCTCATATCCCACATGTTTACTGTTTTCAAACTGCCTCTATAAGAAAGTCATTAGCTCAAAGCGCCCTCCACCAATACGTTATATTCTATAGTATAATTCATGACTCTACATGATGGTGGCCATGCTCTATTAAAGCTGCATTGATTGGTTTGTGTGGCCACGGAGGAACAGAAGCCCTCCTCCCTGCTTATTTGCACATTCTGCAGACACTGAGCAAACGTTAGCATTTATTTAGACTGGTGTTAGTGTCCACATGCTGAACCTCAGTCCAATATCAGCTATGTTTGGTCTCCATCAGACATCTCCTTATTTAAATATCCAAACATATTACTGACTGATGGAACTTGCTTTAAATGTGGCTAATTTAAGCAGCCAAGACAGACAAATGTATCACAAAAGAATACATATATAGAATTTGCATGCTGGTCTCAAATCATCCACAGCACCGTCATCATTTTCACTGCATACGGAATGCAAATATTCCTCTGCTGATGTGTCAAGGACGACCACGACCTGCTGGGTCTTCATACATGTGTTCTACAGGGCATGGTTACCCACACTGTGCATAGTGCCACTCCTTCTGTCCTCAGCAGGAGTCTGAGCTTGAAGGCCTTTCGTTCTCTTGCTGGAGTTAGTGAGTCAGGAGGTATCAGGGTTCATATATGAGCAAACAACCTGGTAATGCATACCGTCCAATTTCTGCCCAAAATGTATATTCTGTACTTCTTTCAATGAATTCATCTATTCATTTATCAAATGGAATCACACTAAAAAACAGCCTGCAGCAACCCTCTGGTTTTTGCACTTGCTATAAGAAACGATAACTGTTATAATCATTTCAGCATTCATTTGAGCAGAGAAATTAGAAAACACAAATGAATCGTTTCATTTAAGGTTGAAAGTGTTCTTCAGTAACTAACAACGATTTAGCACAGTAAATCTAAAGTTCTTTAGAGACAGCGGCGCTGTAAGACAGTGTAAGACAGACATGTTTTTATGTTGTGTTACTTGTTTAACTTCCAAAGGCTGCTTTAGCTCCTGCTCCGGTCTGATTGAGTACAAGGTCAATCCAACATGGCCCCAGAGGGATTGAGGGGAAGCTCCTGTGCTTCCTAGCTGGTGATCTTCTTGCGTGGCAGGTAGGCGTTAGTGATCTGGTTCATCACCACCAGGGCAGGGAAGAGGGGCAGCAGGAGGAAGGCCCACCAGGCAAGGCCTTTCACCGTGGCCTGGAACCAGTCAGAAAACATGGCCGACACACCACGGTGACGGTGGCCAGCAGGTAGACCCACCAGGCAGCATGGTGGCGTGGTACAGCTTCAGCCTCAGCGGGGGGGGAGGACAGGCGCAGCAAGCTGAGGGAAGAGGAGGCCGACGCCGCAGGCCGCCTGCAGCGCAGTCGCAGCCAGAGTGCAGACCCCCAGCACGCTGTGCCAGGTCAGCAGGTGGGGGAGCTCCGACACGTTCTTACTGGCCACCAATGAAGCCCAGGCCGGTGGCCGCGGCTATCAGGACCAGAGAGCCTGGCAGAACCAGTGCAGACGGACTTTACCTTTCCGGGACACGAAGCAGAAGGGGGATCCTTCGAGCCGAGAGAGGAGGACGCCTTCAGTCATACACAGGCAGTACTGCAGACACACACACACGTGTTTATTGAGGGTGTTTAGAAAGACAAAACAAGGAGTTCTGGTGTTGGAAAATAAAAGGACGAGCTGGAGGCCCAGATGAGTTATTTTATAAAACCAGGACTCATCCTGTGCATTACGCTGATATATTAAAGAAAGACAAGGCTGTGTTTTAGCTACAATTTGTTTACGGTTGTTTGTGGATACTTTGGCTAATATTTAGGTTTATCTAATGAATAGATCTGATTATGACAACTTGGGTCTTGTTTTCTGCCATCATTTCTATTGGTTGAGATAACACTTTATTAACCAAAGTTATGAATGATCTGGGAACAGAGACTTTGCTGTTACAACATGTGACAGTGCAGACCACTATGTCGCAATGAGTCTGTGAAGGTACAAATATAAATATCCTTCTTCTGCCTGTGCTTTGAAATCATGTCTGTGGAAGACAAGCTCCCATCGCTGACAGGTGTGCAGCTCACAGTGTTTCTGACTGTAGAGGCAGGATGTTTATACAGGAAGTTATCATGGCTGACACTGGTGATGCACCATCGAGCTCTTCCTCCATTAACCATGACAGAGAAGCCTAACATCCCCCTGTTAGCTGACATATTCCAGGTGAGCTTGTAACACAATATCTGAGGCAGTGATGCAACACCGAGCTTTGTAAAGCTTTCCCTCCATCTATTATTCACCGTGGAAAGAGACACGAGACATCCATGTTATCAGACTTATACACACTAATGAAAGACCTGCCTGCAGTCGTATGGAAAACACTGAAGAATTAACATTCCAACTGATAATTCATCTAAATAACAAAATGCCATCAATACGTACTGATGCTTCAAATAAAGAGGAAATAAAAGCCATCAACTCATGTCAGGTATCCCCATAATGGTCGCTTCTTCTCTGATGGTAACAATATGTTCTTCTTGTATTTATGTGTTGTGATGAATGTGTGCGTTTGAGAGAGAGAGAGAAGATGAAGTCAGGTGCACACTTACTGCGACAGACATACACCAACAGGATGCCAAGAGAACAGACCTGAAACAGAGGAGCAGAATCACCTTACAGTTTCCAAAAGTATCCAAAAGAACATTTCAGATGTCTGGAGGCTGACAGCTCTGTGAGGATGAGGCTCAAATAGGATTGTATTTACATTTATATTCATTTGAACGATTTAATGATATAGGCTAGCTACTGTTTGATACACATACTACAGTGTAATGTTCTAACGGCAACCACTTTGCAGATTATAATGTCTCTAGTATGTAATATTGTTAGTAGGCTACTATATTGTTTCTTTTATAGAGTATTCTACTTTTTATTGTGTATATGTTCTACTGTGCATGCTTTAGATACTCCTTTAGATATTCATCGTTCTACCTTTGGCATGTATGTAGGCTATTTGCTATTTGTATTCTATTTTTTAATCCGTGTGCAATTCCTTGTTATTATGTGACAAAACTATTTCCATTTTGGATCAAGGAAGAATATAATCTAATGCCCAAATGTAGTAGAGTGCAGTTTGGTCCTGTCTCCACTCACTGGTCCCGGTCTGGACAGCAGGCAGATGGATGAGGGTCAGGCCCAGGCCGGTGACATGAGCCGCGATCACCGCCGCCCTTGCGCAGCCACACATACAGCCAGAAGTCCCGCATCCCCCAGGCCCTCTCCCACCGGGCTGTACTCCACATCGGACGGCATGCCGCTGAGCTCCTGCCCGGCTTACCTGCCCACTGCTGCCGCGGATGAGAACCGCGCGGAGGAAACTGAAAGACACGGCGCGTGAGCTGCTAGGAACACTGCACGAGCTCCATACTCACTTTAGAGTTAAGAAGGATGAACGGGGCAGCAGAGGGGAACACAGCGAGGTCAAGATACACACGGCACTTAGCACTTCCGGTATGTCGTTTTTCAAAGTCCGTGTCCAGGTAAATTATGCGGTTATAACAATCTTCCAATCGGCATTATCCTATGACTCCGACATACTCAGTCACGCGCACACTGCATATGGGACCTGCGACTCGCGGTGTAAGTAAAGAGCTGCTCTGTCGCAATCTCTTTGTGAATGAAGTGCACATTAGTTTCTGCGGTCCAGTAGCACCAGTTACGGTCTGCTGGTGAGTTCTTCCTCTCTCCCGTGCACCCTCTTCTGAAAGTCCGCCCGTGTGATGAAGGCGCGGACTGAAGACTGGAACCTCCGACTCACAGTGCTGATGGCCCGCAGTCAGGATCAGGATGGTGTTATTGGTTTCACTTCCTGGTTTGCATCTTCGCCGAAGAGTAGAGGGGGTTGAGATGACTCCCTTCCATATTCACTTTGTCAATGTTGGCTGGTCCTTCTGTGTTCAATTAGCTGGCGACCACAGTGCTGGAAACTGCCCGTATAGCCTACGTGAGGATCTCAACTATTTTCAACATGGACAAGATTTTAAGTTTGATCTAAAGATATAATGTAATACAGTATTAGGGACAATGAAAAAATTGCACTCATCCATTTTCCTTGTGAAACTGACAAACTTTTCTGCAATGTTCTATTGTTTTAAAGACTTAAACTGTATTTCATCTCTATGGTTAAGTAATAATATATATCATGTTTCAGTTGCCTTGACAACATTGATGTTTAACATATTCCTATAGTGCACTGGTTTCTGTATTTTAATGTTCATCATTCTAACCCTAACATGCAGCTCTATCAGAGAATATTTTTTTTTTTTTTAAATGCGAATTTGTATTTTTCCCATCTTTATTAAAATGACAATCATCAAACCATGGATTGTCTAAATTCGACTAGGGATTACAAAATGATCAGTTACCCTATGTCATGCTGAATTTGAGAGTAGTATGAATTGAAACAATGCCCAAGACATTTCCATCGATGTGAGCATCACGTAAATGAAATGCAAACAGAACAAGCAGACACAGAACATTAGTGGGATACTGCCATACTCTTAATAACAAGAACATGTCAAGTTTAAGAGAACGATAATTACCACCTCAGTTTATGACTGCACCACCCAGTCAAGTAGCAATTTCTTTCACATGGACATGTCTATCCTGACTCATGTTATTCTGTATTTAGCAAAGAATTTGAAGGAAATAAATGTGTTATTTGTATTTTTTCTAGATGAAATGTATCAATGTATTTACATGTATGATTGGGATTCATTTGCAGGGAGAAATAGGCCTTCCCCACTTTGAGACTTGTTTACAGAGAAGTACAGAGCACTGAGATTTTCATCACATGGAGCACCCAGAACTATCTGAAGCTCGATGTTGCTGCCGAGTGGTGTTATACAGTATGGTTCAAATTGATTTGACTTTTAAATCTATTTAATCTTGGTTTATTGTGAGAAGTTAAGTGACAACAAACAAACAACGAATTCCTTCCTTGTACGTGTTCACATGCTTGGCAAATAAAGCTGATTATGATAGAACACAAAGTTTAACCCTGACACTCGACAATGTTTAAATGATGATGTTGCTTCAAGTTGTGAACGGTGGAGGCTCCACACACATCTTCCACTGTGCAGCTCAGATGGTCTTAAACATCAGTGCTGCTCGAGGTGGGAGACGAGTGTCACTGATTCGGTATCTGAAATGTGCTCACCATCTCGCCTTCTATACCTGACTTATGGTTTTGAATAATGACTAGAAATATTTTTGCATTACATTGTGATGTCACATTAGAGGTTTTCCTTTTAGATATAAAATGTATTCACTTCATAACGTATCCGTGCACCTATTATGCAAAATCCACTTCTTCATGTCTCTTCTACATCAACATGTGTCCCCTCTGTGTAAAGAGATTCTGAAAGTTTCAGGAACAAAGATTCTCTCACTTTTTGTCCTGATCCATTTATATAAAAACCTGTCTGAAAATGAGCTGATCAGATTCTGGCCACTTTATGTCATGACGATTTGTTGGCTTGTGTAACCATTAGCCCCCCCCCCCACCGCCACCACCACCACCACCTTATCACCTGAATCTTCTCCTAGAGCACCATTGTGTTCTTTTTAACCAAATATCTCTCAGAGGGGAGTGGCTCCTTATTTTCATCTAAAGTAACAGACAGAGAGGGTGTTTCTCAATGTTGAGTAAAGCTGCTGCAGAGCCACTATTTCAAGCATACTACGTCATCGAGTGCCGCCGAAGTACTGTTCCAATCTCCAGCATACTTGGAAATCTACCGAGCCCGGCGTACTCCGTTTGGAGAAATATCGAGGCTGCACATGAGTAGACTCCGCGGTCTTAAAATCCCCACAATGCTTTGCGCACGGACCAATTTCCCCAAATCTGTGGCGGAAGATGTAAGGCGGGGCCTCTCATATGACGCACACCTGCACACTTGCTAGCGTGTTCCACTCTTTGGGTGTTTCTCAATCGCGAGTACGCTTGCTTGGTAGCACATGTCTACCGAGCATCTTGCTTCAGAAGCGAGTCAAGAATACTTCCTGCCATTCGGAAAACAAAGAGTGGAACACGCTAGCAAGTGTGCAGGTGTGCGTCATATGAGAGGCCCCGCCTTACATCTTCCGCCACAGATTTGGGGAAATTGGTCCGTGCGCAAAGCATTGTGGGGATTTTAAGACCGCGGAGTCTACTCATGTGCAGCCTCGATATTTCTCCAAACGGAGTACGCCGGGCTCGGTAGATTTCCAAGTATGCTGGAGATTGGAACAGTACTTCGGCGGCACTCGATGACGTAGTATGCTTGAAATAGTGGCTCTGAAGCAGCTTTACTCGACATTGAGAAACACCCAGTGTTTTCCGAATGCCAGGAAGTATTCTTGCCTCACTTCTGAAGCAAGATGCTCGGCAGACATGTGCTACCAAGCAAGCGTACTCGCGATTGAGAAACACCCACAATCAGCACTTTGGAAACAGGGCTGAAACAGAGGGGTTTATGGGATGCTGCAATGATCTGTTTGGTATTTCGAGTCAAACACTTCAGAGACATGTTTTGTATATATCTGAGACCTATTATATATTGATGAAAAACAGTATAATAGGGGACCTTTAAGATATTTGTGTATCATCTTCTTATGTGTGTTTTAATCCTTTAGTTACAGCCAAAAATGTGTTTTGTGAGGTCACATTGACTTTGACCTTTAAACTCCAGATTGTGATCAGTTCATCCTTCAGTCTAAGCGGACCTTTGTGCCAAATTTGAAACGTTTTTCCTCCAGGCGTTCTGAGATATCACGTCCACGAGAATGGACGGAAGCATGGACAGAAAACCTGAAAATATGACGGCTGCGCCCTGAAGGTCTTCAGATTTGTGACGTAACATTACAAAACAGGTCATAGAAAACAAGTGTAAAGGACATTTTTAATCCATTTTGATAAACAAACATATTTAATTTAGCAGCATAACCGGATGGTCTTGAGGTATTTTTAAATCCATACTCTGAATTTCATCCCACCCTCCCACTCCTCCCTCACACATACAGACATTCAAACCAACACATCCATACTGCACACACACACACACACACACACTTGAGTCCCGTTGCCCCAGTCTTGGACTGAGCAGAGCTGGCTCCCTCTTGTAAGGCAGGCACACTTAATGGTGCAGTTTTGGCTGTGGGACAGAAGAGAGATTGAGATAGTTACATTTTGACAAGAGTCTGGATATTCACTTCAGAACTGATTCAGACTTTTTGACCTTTATGTTCAATTGATGTCTTAAATTCATTTAGGTTTTTGGGAGAGCTGCAGTAAGGCAGTGGGGAAGCACTGAACTCAAATCAGCTTGTTTAAATAGGACCAAGTCTCTCTGTATTCTGGGTAGCATGCCATTTGAAAAACATACCTGATTGGCTTTAGCATTGAGCTGGTCACCTCACAGTTACTGTTAACTCCAACAGACTAATGGAACAGTTACTAAGCCTTTTTACAGCACTATTGTGCAACTCCTTTCCTAAAGAATAACAGCTGCAGAACCACACTGACTTAGAATCAAAAAGAATGCTGCATCTGTCCCACACCGCGCCACAACTGCCTCTCCTGCACTGTCTAACATGGTGACATGGACAATCTTCCCAAAGAAGCACATAAGGCTTTGCAGCATTACGTTGATTTTGGTGAAACTGGATCCTATTGTCATTAGGTCATTTTATAATTGTGGTGGGAAGCACCGGTGAGGTGCTGCAAATGAAGCTGGGTTAGTGATATATATATATATATATATATATATATATATATATATATATATATATATATATATATATATATATATATATATATATATATATATATATATATATATATATATATATATATATATATATCTGACGTTAAACTTCATTAATGTTAGGCTGTGTTAGCCAATATTATGGACTTATTTAGGTATAGGTTATATAAAATAGCGTTATTGCCAGTTTCTATTATGTGTGCTGATTGTCGCCATGGAAACATAGCTCTTAAAAGTTTAAGTTGTGAAAACCACCCCACAGAACACATGACGACATATGTTCAGTAGTGGCTGAATTTCACATTTTTTAATGATTCAGGTTTTCTTTGCATTGTGTTAATTAGTTACAGCAGGTTTTGTTTCTCTTACGACCATGTGTACACTAACCTTACACTAAAACAGTTTTTTAAGTGTCTAAGACCTGTTTGAAAGGTAGTTATGAATAGTGTAGGACAACAGCTGTATCCGGCCTACAGAGAATTCAAGCAAGTGACCCTTAGTGTCACATCAACGACGTTCCTAAACAGTCAGTAGAAACATCAGACACCACTACTGCTGACATTTGAGATGTGTCGTATGGGAATGGACAGCAGCTAGCTCAGTGTTTCTGCCACAGATCAGGAAGTGATGTAAGAAAGAACAACAATAACGATCAGTGTGTGCTTGTCAGATTGGCAGTGATATAGTTTTCTTTATTCAGCTCATTGGCTGTCTACAGACCATCCTGCTGACTGTTGGGGGGGGGGGGTATTTGACCTCTCAGGAATATTATACAAGCTTGACATCAGCCAGGATGTCAGTTCAACTAACTGCAACATAACCCCTCCCTGTCACCCTGTGTATTGATCAGCCTTTTCGTGTCCTTCAAACTCACCTTCTGTGTGCCCAGTTTCTTCTCCACACCCCCAGCCAGCCCCCCCCCTTTGCTTTCCTTCCAGGGATAAAAGTTGGAGCGCGGAGAGGAGGAGGAAGGGGCGGAGCTGGAGGAGGAGGGGGGGCGGTGCACTGAGGGTTTGGAGGGCGAATGCTCCTCCATTCCGCCCCCCTTTCGTTTTTTCACAAGCCCCTGGTGCTCACAGCCCCTTCCGCCACCCTGCAAGTGAAGTCCTGAGTCCCCCCCGCCAGGCCGGCTGTGAGAGTTGTGGTTGGTGGACGACGGGTCTGGGGGAGAGGAATGGCCCAGAGGAGTGTGTGTCCGTCTGTAGGTCCAGACCGCCTTGGCGGCTGGTGAATGGGGTTCTGAGGGGGAGGGCTGTGGGCGGGGCTTGCTGCTGGGGGAAAGTGTACCATTGGTCTGTCCATGTGTGAGCGGTGAGGAAATGGGGGTTTTAGAAGAAGAGGATGAAGAGGAGGAGGCTGCAGAAGGTGGGCGGCCCCGGTCCTGGAGCAGTATACAGTTCCTGTCGGGGCCTGAGTGCTCCCCCTCCTGGGAGGGGGCTTTGCGTTTGCGCTGGGCAGCAGCGGTGGCAGCCTCCTCTCGCAGCTTCATCGTCTGCTTGCTGGGGCGCCCAACAGGGTTCTTAAGACGCCCAGAGCCCCCGAACGCCCGTCACAGGCTTAGCTGGAGAGAGCAGGTGACCCCAGCGAGGCTGCCCCCGCTGACCCCCGAGTTCTCCGTCTGTATGGCTGTCGGGGGTCTTCCTGGACCTCGACTGGAGGAGGAGGTAGAGGAGGCCGTTTTGATTGAGGAGTTGATATGACTTCCTGTGCGGATCTTAGAATGTAACGAAGAGGAAGAGGAGGAAGAGGAAGAGGAGGAGGAAGAGGAGGAGGAAGAGGAGGAGGAAGAGGAGGAGGAGGAGAGGAGGAGGAGAGGAGGAGGAGGAGATGGTCCGGGCCGAGGGAGGTGAAGAGTGAAGATCTGTGGCTTGAGGTATTTTCCTGTTTGAATTACAAAAAACGAATTAGGTGAGAATTAGACTTGCCAACATGTTCTATAGCAGGGGTGTCAAACTCAAATACACAGTGGGCCAACATTTAAAAATGGGTACTAGTCGAGGGCCGGACTGGTTCAATGTTTATTGCAAAACGTATTGAAATGAACTTATTGCACATATTAAACCTGGAACTAACAAAACTTAAAGTGGACCTATCATGCTATATTTAAATGATATATTGTAGGGCCATACCTAATAAGGTATATTTATACGTTTCTGTTTCAAAATACCAAACAGATCATGCATTTTAGCCATGCCTCATTTCGCTCTATGTGCTGTTTGCTGTCTACGGGGCTGATTCTGCTGACCACGCCCCCCTGCAGGAGAGGGGAGACGTGCTCTGATCAGCTGCTGGGCTGTCAGAAGAGGGGGAGAAAAGAGATCTCCGTCCTCCGTGTTTTATTATATAGAGTCGTTATTCATTTGTTTTAAAGCTCAATAAATAACAAAGAAGACCTTTGACCGGCACTTTTCTAATTTTGTCCGGAAGATTTAAACTTTAACGGACATCTTGACCGGCGAAACAAACTGAAACTGAAACTCTGCCGCACGGTCCCCTCGTTCCTTGGAAGAGGCGGAGAGGTGGGTGTTTGTCATCTGCTGGTGGACTAACCGGAGAGAATTACAGTGCTTGCCTCGACGGGGAGGGATTGCATTGCAGCGGGAGCAAACGCTTGCCTCGGGGAGGGAGAAAAAAAGCCACAGCGGAGAATAAACAGAAGGGTAACCATGGTAACTATGGGCGGGAAGTCTTCTTCGCTGCTTTTGTGGCAGACTACAGCGCCACTTACAGGCCTGGCATATGTACTACAACGTCTCCAGCGCTTTCAAACGGCAATGGCCGTGGCTGTCTCCTCCTGATTGGTGGAGTTGGCCCAATAGCCGTAGCGTCACCGTCCTGACGTCAGGACAGTGTTCAAATCTGGATCAGTTTTTATCAGATCCGTTGCAGCCCCTTTTTTAGAGATTTGGGTATAGAGGAAAATAGAGAGGGTTGTGTTTTCTGACACTTGGTGAGTTCCCTGGAACACCGGGGACACATATTCATGTATAAAAGACGTACAAAAGTGCATTTTGCATGATAGGTCCCCTTTAAATGATTGCCTATAAAAACAACATTAAACTAGAGAATGCAATTCCTGAAGAAATACCCCATAATACGCTTAGAGTTACGTTGATGGCTGCATCGTTACCAAACCTTGTGAAGTTTGGGCCGCTTGGAACATTTTGTGTGTGTGTGTGTGTGTGTGTGTGAGAGAGAGAGAGAGATAATGCACAGTTAGAACTGACTGCTAAAATCTGAAGAAAGCCTCTTTACCAAGGTCTGAACAATGTTAATATCTCTAAAGTAAGAATCAGATTTTAAAAGTTGTGTTACACGAATAATGTCAGAAAGATGTGTAACATTTTAAAGTTGGAATGATGGGTTTCTGAGTGAAAGTATGAATTGAACAGTTGGCAGTGAAGTCCTAGCATGAATATTGTTCAAGTCTGAAGATTTTCTCCATTGACTTCAATGGTTAAAAATGTGATGAATATGGGATGTATCTCTGGAATTATGAAAGTATGAATGATAAAAGTAATAGCCATCGATCCCCGATCGAGCTGAACGTTTTGATGTTTGAACGGAGTTTCTGCGATGTTGAATGCAGGAGGAGAAGACGGTGCAAAGTTCCGGCAGACTAATAATAATAATTTTGTCCGTAGAAAGAACATAGTTGGAATGCTGTATCAGCATTCCCACTAAATAATCAGTTTGCATTCATTTCTTATGGCTTATCTGCAGCATCAAGAGTCATTTCTTATGATTACATTTTTCCACAGGCCAACAGCAGCTTAAAAAAATGTTTTCCCTCAAAGGAAAAACCAAACATTGCCCTGTTGTCGCAAGAAAAAAGTGCAAAAGGAAACATCCATTTAAAACTCAGTTTGCTGCTCTGTGATGCTAGTTCAAGCCAGATACTTTGCATCTCATCTTGGGTGCAAGTTCATCAATGTTAGGGGTCAGGCTCTGAGCTTGAGGATTGAGTGAAGGTGTGTGTGCAATATACCGGCGGGCCAGATCTAATAATAATAATTAGAAATTATCCTGTGGGCCGAAATTAAAATCTACCACGGGCCGGATTTGGCCCCCGGGCCTCGAGTTTGACATAATGTGTTCTATAGGACATTCTGACGCATAATGCTGCGTTCACACCGGACGCGATGCGATGTTTGGGGGCGGCGCGATTACGATTAAAGTCAATGCAGAGACGCGGACAGACGCGAATTCGCGCGAATCACGCGATTGAAGGGGGCCGCGTCAAACGCGAAAGTTCAATTTTTTCAACTCGAGCGTCAAATTCACGTGGCGCGTTCTCGCGGAAGCCAATCAGCGGTGAGGATCTCAGCCTGCCGTCACTGACGTTCAACCAGAAAACATCAGCCGTTAGCAGTTAGCACACAGAGCTCACAGCTCCTCATATCTGTTCAGAAACTGGACAAAAGTTAAACAAGTACAAACCACAGACTGTCTGTGTCATGGCGAATACAGTCGCTGGTTTATTTATGTCTGTAGGTCGTTGTTATGAGTGTGAATGAGCATATACAACGTTAGCTTAGCCTGGTCGACCCGATCTTCATTCAGAAAACAAGCATTTTAAAAGGTGTTTTGCCTGCCGTCTTGTCTGCAGGCTTGTCAAGCATTAATTCATGGTTTTTACTAACCGGTATCAGTATGTTGTTACTTCGGCATCATTAAGAAACGTGTATTACAATTTAATCACGGTAAAATATGTTAATTTTGTTGTAGTTGTAGCTCCCGAGCCAGCGCGTCTTGTTTGAATGATGCGAGTAAACACAGCTGGCAGCCGCGGTGAAACTCGAGCGTTTAGAGCGATGCGATAGGAGCGATTAGAGCGAAGCGAATATTCGCATCGCGTCCGGTGTGAACGCAGCATAAGAATGGAGCATGGGAAGCTTTTTGACTACAGACTCAACTGTGGCCGCAGCAGCAAGCAGTGTGCGGACTTGTTGGGTTATTATTTGATCAGATTTCTAGAATTAAATATTCATATTCGTATTTCACAAGATGTTAAATTAGATGCGATTAATTGGTTTCTCACTCTGTAGTTTTTTGTGCTTTATTATATCTTGCTGCTTGTTTTGATCCACATTTGATTATCTTTTACTAAATGTGTGATCAAACTTCACAAAAGTGTTTTGCATCTAAAACCGATTTTCACAACACAATTAACCAAATGACTGGACAACATACCCGAGCAAAGCAGATGTGATGACTTTAATACAATTAAGATGCGGTATGCCAATCATACTTGAAGAATTTAGTATTTGGGTAGAAAAATGAAATAAGATAAAGGACCAGCTACACTAAGGCCCCGGCCCCACGGGAACGCATACGGCAAAACGCATAGGATTAATGCAAACGCAATTGCCAAAAAGCTTCCGCCCACACGCAATATACACCGGATAGTAGGGATGGGTACCGAGCCCCGGTATTAAACGGGCCCCGGGGCTGAATTATTAAAGACCGTGGTACCGTTAAGCTCCGACGTTATCGGTCTTTTTATCGGTACTGGAGACATCTAAAAAATATGTCATGTGTATTATTGCTACACAAACATTATATTGCAGTTTTAGCGTCGCCAACTCCGTTTCTAATATGCAAAAAGACTGCAAAATGCATCATTTTTTGTATTTTCGATCTCTCCAATCCAGACGAGAGATCTCTCTCCCCCGCCTGTGTGCGAGGGGGCGGGGCAGTTTACACACACGCAGCTGCTACATGCAGCCACACACACACACGGAGGAGATGGCGGAGAGAACGCGCTCCGAGGTGGTGGTTAAACTTTACCCGTCTCGCTCGTTACCTAAAGTGCAATAAGTTTAGCATGTTAGGGGCGGTAACACGAGCAATTTGTCTAAACATCTTGCAAAAGTGCACCACATTCAGACGGAGAAATGCACCGGGTTCGACTGTCTTTCTAGTAGCGCTGTAGCCCCATCCACGAGTAACGTTTCCACGTCAGGTGTTATGTATGCTAGCAGCAACACACGGAGCTAACTCAATGATTCAAACATGGGTTAATGATTAGAGGGAACTGAGTTATTTAGTTTGTTAAAGTTTCAGCCATTCTGTTCACAGTTCTGTCATCAGATTATTTAATATGATTTGTTAAAACGTTGTTTTTCTGTTGATGTGAAATTATGTATTTCATTTAAATAAAAAGCAATGTTAGTTTTGTTCACAATTTGTTAATTTTCATTTAATTGTTTATTTGAATAGGGACAATGCACATTAATGAACACTTTAGACAAATAATGCTTCAAGTGTAAATATGCCAGATTTTAGCTTTGAGCTAATTTCCATCCGTAGTCCCTGACATACAACATATAGTTAGTTTACCTCATTTTTCTCTCCAAAAGAACCGATAAGAGTACCGTTAAAAGACCGGACCGATAAGCGGTATCGATAAAAGTAGTAGTACCGTTAAAACCTTAACGATACCCATCCCTACCGGATAGTGTCTTCTCACACGAGACAGCTCCGTTTAGATTCAACCGCTGGAAAAGCTGCAGTACATATGCCGAGCCTGTACGTGGCGCTGTAACTTCCTCCACAAAAGCAGCAACTTCCTCCACAAAAGCAGCGAAGTGCCGGTGTCAGTACCATATGTGTTCGCCCTACCATATGTGTTCGGGGTCCGTCGCTTACCAATGACGTCACCCATTGTGATTGGCTGTACGGAATCGTAGTAATCAGCAGCGAACCGCTTCAACACGTGTATTTCAGTGTATTCACGGCATTCATTTTGTTATTCTACAGTATTATTGTTTTATAGTTATTTGTTAATGTAACCCAATTTGTGTTCTTTGAAATTGAAAAGGATATCGCATTGTGTTTGTTACATTCGTTGCAGTTGTATAGGCTATGTGTTAAGTGTAATTT